TTTTTTAGCGAAATGTTTTTTAACCTAACAGAATTCTTTGCCGACTGTTCTCTGTATATATGAAGAAAATAAAGTAAATATTTAAGTATTGTGAAAAGAATCTTATTTAGTTGCACAAAGTACTTCTTTAAAAATGAAAACTGCTGCCACCGGCAGAAAAGAAATACAGCCAAAATTTGGGAGCCACGTAAGAGAATTATATATATTAGATTAAATTAAAAAAACATATATAACAAATCAAAAAAATAAAATAAAATGGAATGAAATATTTTGTCTAACTTAGCTTATTTTCAATGCACGTTAAGCCGTAACTGAGTAAAAGTAAATGACACAGTGTTGTGTCATTCTAAATTATTTCAATTATTACTTTATTTAACTCATTTTAAATATTAAACAGAGGTGGTGGTGGTCAAGCCTTTTTCATTCTAACGTAGAAAAATAGATGTCGGTTACCTTTTGAAGTTTTTCTGGTGATAAACTATTTAAATGTCCGAGATCATTTGGGATAGTAAATTAAATATTTGTTACGCATACAAAAATTAAAATTTCAACTTAAAACTTGTGTATTAGGTTTCGTTTTAGTTCCTTTAATTTATTAATGAAATAACAAAAAAAAATTGGTTAAAGGGAAGCGATTAGAATATATCAAAGACAATAAAGTTTATTCTTAGTTTTTTTTTTTTTAAATACATTACCATTCATAAAAAGTAAGATTCTCACGGGACCCCGGGGCACTGGCCATGTGTGAAAACGATACTGACCTGTCAGTATTTTAATGAGTGATTAAAAGGTAAATAGATAAAAGAGATTCCCTTTCTAAAGTGGACCACCAAAAAAGTGCGACAGAGATGTGAAATAAAATGAGAAGAAAGTTATTTTGAGAGAAGTTTTCATTCTATATTTTTATTTCAAAAGCGTCCAAATATGCTATTTTGAGATTTGTTGAAGACACATACTAAAATAGAATCCCCTCAACCACCACCAACACACACATAAAACGAAGAAGACTGACTGCTGCCGGACGACAAAATGGTAATTACTCTCTCTCTCTTTCAGTGTGTAGCTGCGATTTCCAAATAAATTAAAAAATTCTGCACATCAGCGCGATAGAGTAATTGTCGACGAATTTTAAACAAATGCGGGACGTGATTATACCTTCAATAACTTTTACAACGAAAAAAAAATCTCGCCTTCTTTTAAATGTTTCTAGTATTTGTAATAAAGATTCTAATTACTGATTGAGGTCGTTCATAGCGCTTTTTTAGCGAATGATATAGGCTCATTTCCAGACATTACAAAACTTATTAAGGAATGATATAATTCTATTTTCTAAAGTATATAACGCTTTTTAGTAAATGATATATGGAATTTAGTAAACATAATGCTTGTTAGTGAATGATTCTGCAACTTTTTAGCAAATATAAAGCTTTTTTAGAGAATGATATATGCTAATTTTATAAATGTTATGATTTTGTAACAGTTATTGAGGATTGTTGATTTGGGTTTTATTCATCTTTAATCAGCAACTTCTATGCTAGTTGTCACAGATTGTTAGTAAATGATATATGGAATTTAGTAAATATAATGCTTGTTGCGAATGATACTGCTACTTTTTGCAAATATAACGCTTTTTTACAGAATGATGCTAATTTTATAAATATTGTGATTTTGTAACAGTTATTGAGGAGTGTTAAGTTCGGTTTTATTCAACTTTAATCAGCAACTTCTATGTTAGTTGACACATATTGTCGAAATTTAGAAAAGAAACAGTTTTGTGAATATCAAAAGCGTTTGATATCTTAATTTTTTTCAAAACTTGAACAGAATAGCTGTAGTTGTTAGGGTACGTAAAAAGTTCAAACAATGAGAACAAGTCAGTGATTTTAGTAATTTCTATAGAGATGGGAAAATTTCACAGACTTTTATTTTTTTTAAAGTTAAATAATTTTTAGGGATATTTATGTTATTTTTTCGTTTCAAAACCTCGGTCATGTGATAAAATAACGTTACATTTTAAAATTAAGCAAAGTTTTAAGATTTACCCACAGTATGTTTATTTAATGAGCAATATATATTAAAATAATGCATTATTTCTATGCATTAAAATAATGCATAGAAATAGAATATTATAGATCTGATGAAAAGAATTAATGAAGTAATTTATGCTGTAAAGTATCAATGACAAAAATAAATAAATAAATGTTTGTCCGAAACACCGTCATCTGTAATTTTTTGGAAGATTGGAATAGATCATATTCTTATTTTGTTTCATTTTTTATTTGTTTATTTATTATTATTTTTGAGTTTTTAATACGAAATGTGAATTTTGTGACCAGTCAAAGTTTTGCAAAAAAATACTTTTTACCTCCGGAAAATCTGCCCCCCCCCACACTTTTATGGTTTCATATACTTATATTTACAACAGCCTTTGAACAGCCGACCCAATTTCGGGTTTACGACTACCGATATTCAACTCCGTAGCCTGGTCATTTTGAACCCAATCCAGAAGACAAAGGAACTCCTGGATCAAGTATGGAGTCAAATCATGGAGGACTTTTTGGTGGAACCAACCCGCATTTGCGTTACACGGAGAAGAAAATCACCAAAATTTTCCACGATTAGCCTGACGGCAAGGGGACTCTATTCTAATCAAGACTCCGTCTACCACGGAGGATTTTTTTACGTCAGCATTGTGATCAGCATGAACCGGGTGATGAATTTGTATCGATCAGCTAATCGCTGGGATTCTAATCCGTTTCACCTCCTTATCCACCACTGCTCTCAAAGGAAAATTCTGATTCCACATTTCATAAACACAGGGGATATTTTTTATAGAGCTTGTACTTACACTTTAACCGTAGGATACAAAATCGCTATCAGTTTAAAAACATGTCCTCCGAAATCATTATTTTTAGATTATTATTTCAATCCAGGAAATAAAAGAGCCTGAAAATCGACACCATCAGAAATATTTAAAGGAGTTTTGAAATTCATGCTCCTTTCCTGAAACGGGTAACAAAGCCGCCAAAAAGCAATTTATATTCTTTTGGACTTCTTAGTTTTTAATTCTTATTGTTTTTATTTATTTCATTCTTCAGTCATTGACTTTTTTAACACTCGTGTAGAATTTAGAATGACGACGCGAGTTTCCTGCTACTGATAACATTTACATAGTTCACTTTTCTGGATGTTCAAAATATTTTCTTTCTTCCTAAAAACTAATGTTAAAGGCTGATGTCGATGCTTCATCTGTGTATAAAATGAAAAAAAGCACTCAGCGTAAATGGATATAGAGGTGTATAAATATATCGGGTGTCAGAAATTAAATAAACTTGAGAGATTCTAGTGGGGTGATTTGGTATCACTAACAAACAATTGCAATAACATTTTGTGGTCATATGTAGTCGGAGAAAACCAGCACGAGTCAGCGCTTCAATTAAAAAAAAGAAAAGGACAAATATTTCTGAGTCATTCTTTTCCGGTTTCAATAAAAATTCTCAATCAATCTCCCTGCTTAGAATATATCAATATATTCCGATAATTATTATTTTTTTTTAAATGTCAACAACACGGCCTCGATGTTTTCTATATCAAATCAAAATGTTCTGTCCTTATAAGACGCTCGATGGCTCAAAAAAAAAAGTGTCCTCCTCAAATTTAATGTATTCGGCAACATTCACTTCAAGAGAAGGTGCATATTCCGTAACAGCTACGAACTCAAAAGTTTTGTAACGATTTAAAATAGTTTCATTAACTCGAGATTCGGCTACATAATATTTTTTACTGCTGAGAAAGAGATTTCTAATACTAAAGAAGCGAAAATTTGTGAAAAGCATTTTCTAAAAAATTATTTTCCGGCTGTAAAATCCACTGTGAAAATGCCTTTTAAAAAGCGCGTCTTCGAGGGAAAATGAACATTCAAATCGCATTATGAAAACGCTCAGTTTGAGAACCTAAATTTTGATAAGATTCATAGGTGTGGGTGAGAAGGAAGAAGAAAGAGAATTCCCTGTCAGTCAAGTTAAGCGATCCAATGATGGCGAGAGCCGTGGATGCTCAGGGGATAGAGCGTCGAAATCCTCCCCGAAGGCAAATTTTTCCCAATACTTATTGGTCCAGGAGTTTCCTCGTCTTCTGGAATGGGTTCCCAATCACAAGGCTACGGAGTTGAACATTAGTAGTCAGGTGTAACAGAAGAAATTGGATAGTATGTTTAATAACGGTTAAAAAATAAAAGGCTAAGATTGAGAAAGAACTAAAAAAATATGTAACTGTTGTACGGAATAAATTGGTATTTTAATACTCCTACTTCTTTTAATACTTTCTTTAGGGGCTTATGGGACACCAGGGTCCCATCACTGTAAGCGTGAAACACAATTTTAACGTATGACGAATTGTTCCAATTGAATCAGTACTTACTTCTTATGTCTAATGATGTTGAGGCGTTGACGACGGCTCACTTTCTTGTTATATCATCTTTAACTGCATTAGCTGAACCTAACTTTATTGAAATTCCTATTAATTGGCTGAACAGATGACGTGTTAAAGTTAAACTAAGTTTCTCTACAAAAGTTAAATAAAGCGTCGTGTCCATTGATGCATAATTCTTTTCGATCTGCTTCTTTTACTCAACTCGGATACATTATTCGTTTAGGTATTTTACTGTAACCGTGATTATCGTTTTGTTTTGTGTACCTGGCAACTCCGATGCTTAATTTGTTCGCTTATGTTCCACATGGCCTGTCTTTATGTTAACCACTTGACATACGAAGACGGCTGGGAGACGTCATTTGTTTCGTATGTCAAAACAAGAATTGACGTGCCTCACACTTCTTCAACACAGAGATGCCAACTTGCTCCGACAGAAAATAAATATTTTAAATCGGTAGTTAATCAATTGTGATTCTTCGTTTAATAAATTAAATTTAGTAGATTTTTATCTTCTATTTTTCTTAAACAATTTATATAATTCCCCACTTTATAGTAGTTATGTCATATACCTTTTCAAAAGCAAGCACAAATAGTCAAATATTTGCAAAATTTAGTGTGTAGTTATTTACCGTTTTCTTTAAATTATTTTGGCACGCGTGTCCGGAGCAGTTGGCATCTCTGTCAACAGCGAGTTGGTAGTTTACAGTGCAATCAAAGATCATTTTTATATCAAGAAATTAATAATTCCGCACAGTTTAGAGTTTTTGTTTAATGTCAAGGGTAAGACATATGAAGTAATGAAATCTTTGTGAAAGAATACGGTATGCGTCACTTAAGAGAACCGGCTTGCTCGAAATAGAATGGAAAGAGCAGTTGCTAACGTAAACGAATGCTTCGTTTCAACAACTCACCAGGATCGAGATACGCAGACTAGGTTACTTGAAGGTATCCCATTAGATCAAAAACAAACCCACCCTATTTGAAAAAAAAAATAGGGTCGTCGGAATATATGAATACACTTCTGAGTAGGCATAAAAGTAAAGAAGAGTATTTAGTTTTGGTAAAAGGCTCAGCTAACTACTCCCCTTTAAAGTGACATTTAGTAGGAAATATTAAAATTCATCCAGGTCAAGATGTTAATTATGCCGTGTCCTTCAAACATAAAATTTGTTCCTTCTATTAATGAAAAAAAATTCAAGCTACTTAAGACCCACGCCATTTGGATTTTAAATTAAATTTTCAATCTGAGTTTCTGTGAAATTTTTTGTACTTTAGATTATTGTGAAAACTTTGACAGCATACTACCTTTCAAAAAAGGTAGAAAATAAAGGGGTCATTTTTTTGATAAAGTCAAATAGCGCTTGAAAATTTTTAACTTCTGTGAGTTTTTCCTCAAAACTTTAAAAGCAATAAAACGACGAATTTTGTGGCTTTGAGTAAAAAATTTAAAACTACACGTTTCTCAGTTTTTATATATATTTTAAAATCTAATTTTATTACAGTTTAAACCGATGAAAACCGCAAAACCTCTTTGAATGACGCTAAAAAATTGCACGAAGATGTTTATCAAAAATCTAAAACCAGGCAACTGTTTATAAGAGACTGCAGAATTGCATTGTCACAAAAATTTAATAGAGAATCTAAATTGTGATTGGGTGACGGTTTTACATTTTCGGAAGACACTGCCATCATTAGTTAGTGAAAATTAAATAAAAATGATTAGAAACAGAGTTTAAACTACCCGTCTCCATCCCTTTCACAGTTGATATTCAGTTGGGAGAGAGAGAGAGATAGTGGCTGCTTAACTCTTCTTCAAAATGTGAGTATAAGTATCATCGTTTGCATCATTGAGGGCTGTATATGTTATAATTTTGTATTACAAATTTGAATTGGTGAATGCAAATTTATTGTTGAATGTTGATAACATTCAAAACAAGGAGAAATGTTGACGCTTAAAGCTCCATCTGTGTATAAAATGAATAAGTACTCGGTGCGTGTGCAAACATGTCGGCTTTCAGAAATTAAATAAACTTGAGAGTTTACGATTCTAGAGTGATGATTTACAAAGAATAAATACTCTATAGTCTGAATAAAAACCTTATTTATAGCTTTCACCCCCGAGGCATGCTGAATGTCGACATTTGCCAGTGTAAATGTTACTATTCAACAAAAACATTTTATTCAACATTCACGAATGGTGACAACATTCATGAATACAATTTAACCGAGCTATAAAGTATTCCATTTATAGTAAACAGGGTTGGAGTTTTTTCCGGCAAAAAGGGTTTTTTGCCAGGACAGTGGCAAAAACCTGGTAAAAACCAAATTATCTAAATCGCTGATTAAATATTATTACAAAATACTTGAAGCAAATTTAAATCAATCATAAGGAATAATAATTTTGATACATTACATGAAAAAATTATTTTTAAAATATTAATAATTAATATAAGGGTAATAATTTTTAAAAGATTGAAAGTTTTTGACCTCTTTCCATTCTAGAATCCTTAAATAAATGTTTTTTTACAAACATCTTCTTAATAACTTTTGGTATGTATCCTTTTACATATCACTCTTACAATATATTTAAAGAGAGACATAAGAAAGCTAAGATGGATGTTCTATTTGATAATCACCTCATTTCTCAATATTACTTCAAAATGCAAACAAAACCACACAATTTAAATTCTTGTGAAATTTTCAGAGAATTTTGTGAATTAATACCTCATTTACACTCATGTCCTTCTAGTAGTACTGCCATTGAAAGAGTGTGTTTGAATTTTTCATTTGTACATTCTAAAATTCGGAATGGGTTGACTGTAAATAATGTTTCAAAACTAGTGTTCTGTTATGCTATGTTGAGACAGCCCGAATTGTATTGTGATGATGAATAAAGTATTGAATTTGCGCAAATTTTAGAAATTGCATTGGTACTTGTATATTTTAATTAACTACACATGTTGATAGATATTTTATGCTTTAAATTATAGTTATATTAATTTAAAATAAGTTCAATTCACTGAAAAAAGAGAATAATCACTAATTTTCCGATCAATAATGTTTTAAACTACTAAAGTGATATATTAATACATTATGATTTTATTATGGAATAATAATGTTGTTAATTTTTTTTAATTATATATATTCATAGTATATATTTCAATTTTAGGAATAATTTTGTATCAAAAATGTGTTTTTGTCCGTATAGGTTTTTTCCACCTGCGGCAAATTCTTGCCAACCCTGATAGTAAATAATGGATGGTGTTTTCAATATTGTAAATGTAAACAACGATCTCGAGCACTTGACCTGCTCCACTTCCGGTTAGGAGGTGTACAACTGCTTATTCTGAGAGGCGATATTTTCAAACAGATAATTTTATTTTTAATAAAAGAAATAAATTATATCATTTCTGAGCTAAAATTTGCTGAATTTCTTTAAATATTAAGTAATTCTGGTGATTTTGAGATGAAAATTTGTTTTAGTTATTTAGAGATGTATTGTTAAAAAAGGTGATAGGGTTGCTAGATTCTGATTTGGCCTGTTTTTACTCGTTTATTACTGTTTGTTCTTGGTACAAGCCGTGCACTATCATAATTTAGTGTTAGCATATTGTTTGAGTACCGAGATTAAGTTCGTTTTACAAATTATCATTTAGGTTCAAATTTCGAAATCAGTATATTATTAACAAGGTAAGAAGTGTTTCATGAAGATTACTTTTTTCAAATAACAATTCTCACATTTTGAAATGACTGGTCTTCAAGTGACACGATTATTCTTTTAAACACAAATAATAAACCGCTTTTACAAAACAGGGTGCGTAGCCAAATCTTTCAACAAAAAACAGGCACCTTTTGAAGCACTCGTAAAATATTTTTAAGCATTCTATACATTAACAAAATGCAAAATAATTTTCAAAGACTTTACATGATCTTGATAAAGTAACTAGCTTCTGACGAAGAACTATTTTTCTTGATTATATTAGTCACCATGAAAAGATCGAGAGATTTTTCGGTTCGACTTCAGAGTGTGGAAAATGATGCCTGAAAATTGAGAATATCTCGCCAGCAGAGTTGCACATGAGAAGGCAATAATCTCTCAGCTCAGTAGACGCACATACGGATTTTCATATTTCATTCAACATGCAAAATGATGGGCGATTTCATACGCTATGGACCAATGGTACGCCGAAATGAATTATGAAAACGTTGAATAGAACAATGTGAAAAGTACGCTTTCGTGGCGAAAATTGACGTGGTAACGAAAAAAAAAATTTTTGAAAAGGAAAAATTAAGCACTTTTTAAAAACACTATCCATATTTAAGAAGAAACTGAATATTTTTCTTTGTTTCAGGATGGTTCGAAGAAATCCAGTTTATCGGAATCCCAGGTAAGAGGTAAATGGCTTTTCATTCTCACCTCAAAATTGCCTTTATTATTTCTCTTTGTTGTTTGATCGCAGTTCACTGATAGTAGAGGCACAGTTCCCAGTAGAACACCCAAGTCAAGCATCACTGGCTACGGTCAGAGTGCGGGTGGGTGACCACTTTGATCAGCCTTCGCAGGGACCGAGGGTGAGCGGTATAGACCGTTGTTAAACTGTTCTACCGTAAAGTGCTCGACTTCGCGCGCAGGTTGTCGGGCTACCAAAGCGGAGGAGCCATCCCCTCTGCAGAGGATAAAAAATGCGATGGCATGTGTTCGGATCATCCCCTCGGGTGCTTCCTAGACCGTCGCCAATAGCCCATTGTGCAGCTCTAATGCGACATAAATAAAATACCTACCTTTTTGTGAAAGTAAGTATTGTGTTTTTTTTTTCCCGACCGGACTGTGTAAGGGTCATCAGAAAGGTTTTAGGTTCGAATTCTGGCAAGGTTGTTATTTCAACTTCGGGAGCAACGTTGGCCCACCTAATATGCTATCTGCCCCAAATAAGCCTGGAATGCCAACCCAGGTGAAAAGTTTTTTCACCTTTGATTTTTTGAACTTTCAAAATGACTTACACCATTTTAGTGTTTATCGATTTTTCTGTTTTTTAAATAACTTTATAACTATACCATGCCTTGAATGAGTCTTTGCGAAAACAAGTGATGTTAGTTAAGAAAAAAAATTTTTTATAAGTGTGATAAAGCGACAGATTGAAGTATAAACTTGAATGAATGTTGTCTTAGGTCGTACATAGAATACAGTTAAAAAAAAAAAAAAAAAAAAAAAAAAAAAAAAACGCCGATTTTTTTTTTGGAAGCTGGGAATTTAACATCCCTTTTTAGAAAAGTGTCGGTAAGAAACTGTTATGCTCCCTTGAAAGAAAGTTTATTAATGATTATTAAGGCCCGAATTTTGATGACATTTGCATTTTTGGACATTTTTTGTCTTTTAGAGCATTTTTTTAGATTTATAGGGCATTTTTCTTTAAATTTTGGGGCATATTTTGCATTTCTTAAAGTTTTTTGTTAATTTTTTCCAATTTTTATTATTTTTTATCAATTTTCATTATTACACTGGCTTCCAAACAATGAAGAAAATCTATAGGATATTAACAGGTGAAGCAAAATCTTTTCAAATTGAAGAAGAATTGTCAGTAAGTGAGACCGTCTTTTTCAAGTACGCACCTATAACATCAGTAGACGTTGAAAGAAGCTTCTGCAGGAATGAAAATTTACTTTCAGACAAGAGACGCTCGTTTACATTTCAAATTATCAAAAAACATTTAATAATCCAATGTAATTCTGATATTTAGTAATATTATGAGATGGAAGTTGTTATATCCATTAAAGTTTCTATACAAAATAAAAATATTTTGGTGTCAATATATTTTCCTTTTTTTGTTATTTTAGGATATAAAACATATTTTTCAAACTTTAATGAACGTAGAACAAGTATTGCATTGCTTTATATTTTTTAAATGACTCATAATAATTTTAAAGAGCAAAAAATTTTTTTAATTCAATATTTTTACTTTATCTAAGGCATTTTTTGCATTTTTAAGGACATTTTTTGTCCTTTTTAAAGGCATTTTTTGCACATTTTAAGGGCATTAGTTGAGATTTTTTAGGTCATCAAAATCCGGGCTCTAATGATTATGCTATACATTTCAGAGATGAAGACTGCTTTCGCGATGCTTGATAAAAATCAAGATGGCCGGGTCAATCTGAATGATATAAAGCACATGTTGGAAAATCTAGGGATCAAGGTGGCCGACACAGTCCTACAATCACTCATCAGAGAAGTAAGCAAAAATGGTGAGTCGTCTTTGTATATCTTCTGTGGAAGACGGGCCCGAAATGCCCATCCCTTACGTTTATTTTTCACATTCCTTGTAAAAAAAAAAAGTGAAACTTTTTTACCCGCTCAAGATTCCCTTTTGTAGTAAATGGTGCATGTTATATCTGTCGTGTCAAAAAGTCTATGTTCCCGCAACAAGTATCAAATTAATAATTAAATTTTAAAAAAAGAAGTCTAGAACGCCTTTGTTTTAAGCTAGGAATGGTTTTTAAGCTTCAAATGTCATCAAACTTACCTGTATATTAGTTACGCTCCTTTTGTGTATCAAACATAGCAATAAGAAATATTTTGCGAGCCTATACACTGTTTTTAATGGTAAATATGCAGAATTTGTGAGAAACGAAAGGAAAAAAAAAAGTAATAAGTACAGTAGATTTTTTGAAATAATAAAAGTTTCATTCAAAATATTTAAAAAAATATATTTTAAATATAAATAGATATTGAATTTGTTTAGGATAGTTATAACCTATATTCCCGGGATAGTAGGGCGCAGGATTCACGTTCGAAGACTCCCCATGTAGTAAATGGTGCAGGTTAAATCTGTCGAGTCACAGAGCCCTCCGTGTTACCACATCAAATTATACCTCTGGGGGTACTGAGTTAGAGATGGATCGTTGCCCGGTTCAAGTTAAAGTTACGATCAGTGGATGAATAAATGGATGTATTAATGTGTCCGCCCTGTAAACGGGCTGTGACTTGTGTGTGACTGAAGTCGTATTCTTGGCCATAGATGGAGTTGGCAATCTAATAAATATTAGATTTTCCTCGCAGATTCAGTGAGTGAAGAAGATTTCCTTTCATGGATGGCCAGTGTCACTCAGAAAGGACAAGAAGACGATCTCATGGAAGATTTGATGGCAGCTTTCAGAGTGTTCGATAAGGACGGGAATGGATTCATTACACGGGTAATTATTTCATTTTTAAAAGAAACTCAAACAAATTTCACACAATGTAATGCTTCGTAATTGTACTAATGAATAAATTTAGACAAAATTAAACAATGGTAAAATGAAATGTTTATAATAAATGAAAAATAATGCTTCCATTGGAATTTAAAGGAGAAAAATTTGCAACTCAAAATTGTTCATAAGTTTATTTTCAACAAAATTTTTCCATCGGACAGTGCAAAAATGAAATAACGACATGATCCTTACATTAAGAGAAAAAAAAAATAGTACGGCGAGTAATCTGTATACGGCTCCTAAGTTCGAACTATTGTACGTTTGCAATTTTTAAGAATTATAAAGCTTTATTAAAAAATATGTAAAAATGACATAATCATTCCAAATTTCAAAGCGTATAAAAATAATACAATTTAAAGTTTTTGAATTTAATAAGCATTCTCATAATTGATTAAAATAAGCTAATAATAATCGCTAAAAGGATTGGCAGTAACCTGAAAATAGAGTGCAATATGGTTTTTAGATGATACCAACTTATAGTAGGTAGGTACTTCATTTCAACGAACTAGCTCTGCACAATGGGCTATTGGCGACGGTCTGGGAAACATCCGCAAGGATGATCCGAAGACGTGCCTTCGCAATTTGATCCTCTGCAGAGGGGATGGCTCACTTGATTTAGTAGCCCGACGACCTACGCGTGAAGTCGAGCACTTTACGGTAGAACAGTTTAACAAAGATCGATACCGAGCACCTTCGGTCCCTACGCAAGCTGATCAATATGATCACCCACCCGCTTACTGACCGCAGCTAGTGATGCTTGACTTCGATGTTCTACGATCAGCCCACCGTAGGACCCGAAGAAGTAGAAATTACTTAATTTACTATTCTAAACACTAAGCGTAATCATTACAGATCCCTGATTTCAGGGTTTGGTACAGTCGAATCCGGAATTATTTTTTATTTTTTTCTTCTTTTTTAAGAATTTTTTTCTTTTTTAAGAATCTTTTTTCATTTGAAAATGAAATTCATTTTTCTTAAACATGCATTTTGAGCTGTGTCTTTGGAATGAAGAACAGGCATGGAGCATTTTTAAAATGGTTATTACAAACAAATGAATGAATATTTTATTAAAAGGATGAGCTGAAGATGGCGATGGAAATAATAGGAGAGACAATGACAGAAAGTCAACTGGATGAAATGCTTCATGCAACGGATATCGATCAAGATGGAAGAATCAATTACGAAGGTAAGGATCATCCTGCACTGACTCTTCGGGAGAAAATCCTTGTGCTCTAGCATGAGCTACATTGAGCAAACTATACCAGTTTTAATTGCTGGAAAAACCTAGGAATTAAAATGGAATTGCTGAACATACTTAGATAATGCAACTTTGAGCCGCGATGGCCCAGGGGATAGAGAGTTCGCCTTTCAATGACGTGAACCGGGTTCGAATATCGGCGATGGCTGGTCGATCCGAATTCTGCATCCGGCTTGCACCCATCACAGTGCTGACGTGAAATATCCCCAGTGGTAGACGAATCATGGGTTAGAGTCCCCTTGCCCTCAGGCTTACCGTGGGAGCTTGGCATGGTCTTCCTCACCATGTAACGCAAATGGGGGTGAGTTCCATCGAAAAATCCTTCAAGAAGGCAAATTTCTCCAAATACTCGATCCAAGAGTTCCCTTGTCTTCTGGATGGGGTTTAAAACGACAAGGCTACGGAGTTGAACTTGAGTAGTCATAAACCCAAAACATTGGGTAGGCTGTTCAACGACGGTTATAAAAAAGAAATGCTACAGTAGATAAAATAGTTTAGAGTAGCAGAAATATCTTCCTTAAATACTTTGAGTGGTCACCATTCTTTAAAAGGCGAACATAAAAAATGAAATTCCCAGTACTTTCCCAGCTTGCAAAGAAAAACTCAAAATTCCCTGTTAATATTCATGTTCTACCTGTGGAGTGGCCAGCCAGATAAAGATCAAGACAAAAGTACATTTTTCTCCCTTTAAAAATGAAAGGGTTTCAAGTTCATTTGAAAGATACCTTTAAGTATTTTATGGGGTCCAGTATTATCAGATGCTTTATACATTTATTAATGACCTACAACACTGAAGCACAGCAGGCAAAAGAGCCTATCTTTACACATAAGTAATTCTAAGAAGGACCAAAATTATTTTGAATTTATACTTTCAAACTGCAGAAGGCAGCTATGCATTATGTCTATGAAAAAAAAAATTTCAGACGATTCCTATTGATTCGTTTGTAAAATGACCTCTTAGATCCAAATAGTCCCACCTCTATTCTGTGAATTAATAATTTTTTAATGAGATTGCAACACAGGAAAAAAAAATGTTTTAAGAGTTAAATTTCTTTTGGGGGGGGGGATAAAAAAAAGTTGTAATATGCAGGGAGATTTTGGGGGGGGGTGAGCTCTCTTAAATTGCGAAGGAAAAAAAATACCATTAAAAACTATCATTTTGGGCAAGGGTGTGCAACCTTTTTAAGAAAAGGGCCACTTGTACAGCAGGTTGACCAATGAACGGTTGCATGCCTAAACATGTTGATTGTAATTATGATAATTTTTATATAGTAACGTCATTGTTTTAGATACTAAATTTTTTTTATCAGTCAACCTTATTAAAAAATACCAAGTTTTTTAAATACTAAAATTCATTAATACCTAAAGGACTCCCAGCTGATATTATTAAAAAAAACAAATAATAATTTTTCCTTTCAATCAAAAAGTAGATTTATCATAAAAAATAGTGTATTTATTTAAAATCATATTACATAATACAAAAGTTTATTTAATAAGAAACTAGCTGTTCTGTTTGTCGTATAAAAGTAAAATAAATATTTTGTTGAGTAATGTAAATGCAAATTAAATATTTTAATTAAAGAAATTTAAGAGCTGACTAAAAGGATTTAAAATGAAGAAAAAAAAAACATTATAGCTTATAAATTTTACTTTAATAATAACTTTGGGAAAAATAATTTGAGGACATTCGTATTTTAAAGAATTAGTTAAGGCTTTATTAATGTTAAATCTTAAATGGTTTTTTAAGCCACAAAAAAATTAGAAATAAATTGAACAAAAATAGGGAACAGTTGTTTTACCCACATCTCAATTTTCGTTGTCATAATATTGTATAAAAAATATCGAGATTTTTAAAAAACTATATGGAAATGAGTAGCAATAATTGCCTCCCAAAAAATACTATAGTACAATAGATTGAATACGAAATCAAAGTAAATAAAGACGATGTGAAATACGCAAATCCTGATATAATAATGTATTAAAAATATTGGGATTTTCACAACTATGCAGAAAAACGTGGCAATAACTGCAACTTAAAAAAAAAAAAAGAAAACCGAAAAATAAATAACTTGGATTAACGACTAAATGGACATTAATAAAGCATGTCAAAAATTATTATTAAAATGAGCGAATTAAAACTCGAAAGCTTGTAAAAATATATTAAAAATACTGATATTTCCAGAACCACGCGGAAAAGTGTAGCAGCTAAAAATTCCTTATATTTGTGATAAAATTGGCACAAATAAAGATCTCATTTCATTGTCTTATTTGAGTGTCATAATAATACTACATAATAAAAATATCTGGATTTTCAATACACTGTGGAAATACGGAGCAATAACAACTGAAAATGAAATTGGAGATGCAATAAAACACAGCAAAAGTGATTATCAAAATGCGCAATTTCAAACTCTATTTTTGATTCAATATGAAACTAAAGTTGTATTAATGGAATTAAAAATATCAAGATTTTGAAAATTAATCTGACAATAAATGCCAAAAACAGGATGAATAGTCACTTAGATTAATGATAAAATGGACATAAATAAAGCTCTTCAAAAATTTATAAGATTATTTTGAAATTTTTTACTGATTTCGTAATTTGAAATATAGTTTCTGCATTAATTACTGAGTAGAAGTGGTAATCATTGAAGATAAATTTTCTTATTTTAAAAAGCATTTAAGTTTTTAAAACTAAGAATAAGTGTATTAAAATCAACAATTGTTATTGTAGGAAGAAAATATTAGATTTTCTGCTTAAATTGTTGGGCAACCTGCCACCATTTGATCTGTCTTATTGTCACTAACTGTTAGGAAATTTTTTTTCTGACGCTACGACAGTAAAAGTGTTAAGATGAGGCCCTCGAGCAATCAAGATTGAATTCGTAAAAATTTAATCATTAGATCAAAAGTTATTCAGGGAGTTCACTTTTGTGTGGCACTGTACAATGTATGCAGGCCAAGGAAAAGTGTTTACTACAGTTTGACAGTACACTTATAAAAATAAATTACTGAAAAACAAGCCCTTAGACTCAAATTTTGAGTAATAACTCAAACTGTGACAGTCAACAGACATGATTCATTAAACTCTGTCATTGAATTTTAAGAGTGCTAATGATCACATTCTAATTTTATTTTAAAACCATGAAATCCAATTTAATGAGACTGTTTTGTTTTTTACTTTTAGAATTCGTTAAAATTTTGCTATGACTCGGAAAATTGTGCAAGACGAACGAAGAACAATGCCGGAAGACAACAAAAGTTTTCAAAAACAATTTACAAAGTTTGATTGAAATTTGCTGCACTTAAAAATCGATGCACAGAAAATTTAAACTAACAGGCCAGACGTGTCCTGCCTCAGTTTAATCTTTGAGATAGGAAAATCTATGATTATCTGCAAAAATAAAAGAGGAAGAAAAAGTTCACAGAAAAAGAGTTGTTTGAAAAATAAATATGATTGTTTTTAAAAACGAGGTTTACATTTGTTCAACTGTAGTTCCACATTTGAAAATTAGAAGAGGAATCAACATTATGTATCTTTTAAAAGAAAGGTGGATCATTGGTATTTTTAACAAAGTTAATTCTGTAAAGAATACTCAGGGTTAACACAGAAAACAGTTGCCCAAAACTATGAAAATAGGTAGCCTAAATAAGAATAAAAATATGACTAAAATTTTATTGAATGACTTAACTTTCATATATAATATTCTACTTAAAAAAAATGTATACAACAGAAAATGCATACCCTGATAAAAGTTGAAAACAGTAAAAAAATAATAAAATACACATACTTAAATATTCAGCATTTTAGATATAAATGATAATATAAGAATTTGCTTTCTTTTATTCAGAAGTTCCTGAGTTGTTCAACCCAATATATGTTAAAAAAAAAAAACATCACTAGGAGTACAGAAAAGTCCCAATTTCCTAAAAACAGTTGCTTTAGCCTTTAAAGGTAAAAAAAAAGTTGCCTCATGCCGAAAACAGTCGATTTTAGTCACCTGTGTACTCTCATAAATACATATTTCTAAATATCTCAAATTAATAGAAATATTTCTGCAGAAAATTGCAAGTAATAACTATCTACAATTTTGTAAAAATCATTCATTATTTTACTTTTCACAGAAAATTAAAAAAATCTATACATGAAATATCTGGAGCAGGTTTTAGAGCTCTACAAAGAATCACAAGTAATGAGTTTGTAATTCAGCTAACATATTCTTGGTTAAAAACAAAAATCAGGAGTAGTTTCTATCATCTTTTTTGGTTTACAACTATCTAACCTTGGATGTAAAAACTAAGATATGGCAGGATTTTGACGAAATTTCAACAAAACCTCTAATTCTTCAATTCTTTTTTCCTTTTCTATCAGCGTCTTTTTCAGATGTTTTATCTCATTTTCAAGAGTCTGTTACAATAGAAAGACAGAAAGAAAAAAAATTAAAAGATGATTAAGCTGAAATAATCTAAAAGTTATGGCTCACTATTATGGAACTATATAATGGATTATAAACCATATCTAAATTTTTTGGCCATATCTAATGGTTTAGGTGTGCAAGCTACACTAAATTTTTTCCATGACTTTCAAAACCATTCCTTTGATGAAATCACCACAACTCTCTTACTAAGTACACCGATATTTTCACAGGCAGCTTAAAAGTAACAAAATAAAACACACAATTTTAAATTAACTACACAACCCACTCTATATCAATTCATGGTTTCATTTTTACTTTCCTATGATGTTTAATTGTTTATTCAGATCTGGGTAAATGCATGGGTAGTCCATGCGAAACATAAAGGTATGTTTTGCAGCATTTTGCAAATTTTTCAAAATTGTCTGGCACGGAAGCTGGTTAAAAAAAAATGTGCAAAGAAACACAAATTTGGTGCAAATATTGTTAGGTAGGACTTTGCCTCAAGTCTTATTTCGAAATTTATCATTGTAAACTTTGATAGTATTTTGAATATTTTCATTAGTATATACATTTTACCTAAGTATTTCATAAAATAAATCCTAATTTCACCGGGATTAATATTCAAAAATTTGCTTTATAAATTTTTCTTTAAATTCAATTTTCCGACAACCTTTATTTTTTGATCTAATTCTGTAACTAAACAGAAACTGGTAAAAAAAATAAATGCAAATTTGTTGCAAAAATTGTGAGGTTGGACTTTGTCTCAAGCTTTGCTTCAAAATTTATCACACTAAGCTAAACTTAATTTCTAATAAATATTTTGTACGTATTTGGCATATTTTTAACAGTATATATATTTTACTTTTGTGTAGCAAAATTAAATAATAATTAAACCGAGATTAATTTCCAGAATTTTGCTTTCAAATGACTATTCTACAATTTTACGACAAACTTTATTATGATCTAATTTTATATTGAAAAACAAATTTCTTTTAGCAAAAACTTTTGTATGGTTATGTCTAAAATATATGTAGATTTGAAATATGTAATAAAAAAACATGCAATTTTCAAGTCTATTCTGATAAAAAAATTATAAAGTAAGAGGGTTAAAAGGAACATATTTTAAACAAACATTAGTTACATTAAATTACATATTTGTTGAAAAGAGGTATGTTTTGAAAACAAACAAATACTATTATATGCATTTTTTTCAACTTCTGTATCTCTAACTGACTTTCTTGTGGCTTATAAAAGACTTTATAGATAAAGTATGTGAGAATTCTTATCACAGACAACTTCAATTAAGTATAAATACTCATTTCCTTTTTTACGTTAATATGTGACATTTCACCACAGCTCATATAAATTATTTATAATAATAAAACTGAAATATTTAAGAAACAAATTTACTTTGGAATGAGTTGAAAATGGTAGATTGGCAAGTAGATATTCGGCAGAAAATCGAACAGCAGGATCAGAAGAAACTAAATTTTTCATAAGTGCCACCTTCAAAATAGAAAAAAAAAAAAGGAATAAGCTTTATGAATGAATGAATATATAAATTGAAATATTGAGAAAATATGGAAAATAATAAAGATTAATGACAAGAGAAAAAAGATTATTAAAATAAATTTATTTTTAAAAATATTAAAAAAAATATTAATCTAATTTTTTTATTTATCTAAAATGCATTAATTTTCTTAATTTTTCTCTCTTTTTATTTTCATCCTTTTTGCCTTTTTTGAGCTATATATATGAAGTTCTTGACAAGAATAATAAAATTACCTGTTTAACGGCCAATTTTGAAATTTTTGGGAAAAAAATGCACTAAAGTTTTTTTAAAAAAAAAAGTGATCTGGCTTGATGTCTCGAATGTAATAAAGCAAACTTTCTTTTTTAAGGAATTCTACAGTCAAATGGCTGTCAATTATTAAAAATTTATAAAGAGCAAGAAAGAATTGAAAAAATAAAAAGGAAAAATTTAACCCAAAATCAAGGATGGTAAGTGAAGATTTTTAAATTACAAAATTCGACAAATTAGCATACTTTTAGTCATACCTTTCCATGAAGGATTTCAATTTTAAAAACCAAAATATATAACGAGGAAGATGTAGCAATAATGCGTAAATTATGAGACACCATTATTGGAACACATTATTTAAAAATCATAAATACATTTCAAATTTCAGCAAAAATTTTGACGGAACATATTTGAAAAAATGTTTTGTTTCCATTGAGAATTTTTTCAGTTTTTCTAAAACAAAGTTTAAATTTCTTTCCCATTGCAATACAAGCTTTTAATCTTTGGCTTGAATTTGAAAATTTTTTATCTTGGAGAGATAAAAGAAAAAAAAAAAAACTTTGCTCAATTTAATAAAATTTTCTAAAATTACAGATTGTAGAAAATTCTTGAAATATAAACTGCCAACTATCTATTATATGTTGGCAAGTATAACCTCAATATTATTTCTTATCGGTTAGAGAGTGATAAATGAACTACATTTCATACACAAATGTCATTTACAGTGGCATAGTTTTGGGGGAAAAAAACCTCCGAAATGATATATATTACTTGATTAATGAACTATTGTTTGTAAGTAGGATATAGATGTAAAAAAATTTTCATTATTCATTTTTTTTTTATAATTTAAAAGTTTAGAATATATATAGATATATATACATATATAGCGAAGGAGATAGAGCCGGGATAATCTGGTTGGCAGGACACTGGACTCATGCTTGTGAAATCAGGAGTTCAAATCCAGCCGGCCGGAAAACTCCCCGCGTTACTGGTGCACGTAAAAGTTTTAGTCCTCCATGTTCCTATAACAAATAACACCTCAGGGGGTACTGAATTGGAGATGGATAATTCTCTGGATCAGATTTTACGATCTGTGGATGAATGAATAGATGTATGAATAGGTCTGCCCTATAAACGGGTGCGATGTATGGGTGTGGCAGAAGTAGAATTCTTCGCCATAGATGGCGCCACGTGAAAACAAGAGCAATCGCACCACATCTGTCTTAATGGCCGACGACAAGAGAAGGTTGATATCAATAACCCCTCTCAAACATACATTTAAACTACACCTTTGGTCATTTACATGTTTTATTTTTTTAAAATTTCATTTTATCTAAAGAAAAATTAATATTCACTATTCTCAAAATTTCCAACACATGAGAATATTCTCAATTGTCATAAATATTTTCACTAGTTAAATATTCTGTTTATGATTGCACATATCGATTAATCTGTTCTTGTTTAACAAAAGTTGATTTATCTTAACTGAATCTTTCACCACATATTTTGTGGAATAGCAACACATGTGAAAAGTTGAATTATGGTTCATATTGTTAATCAAATCAGTCATAAGGCTGAAATGAGTTTAAATATCCTCTAACAGGGTTGCCACTCAAATCTGGATTCCCTGCACATATTATACATAATATATTAAGGGGAAACACAACAATTACTCTGCACTTGTTCGAGCTATATTGGGCTAACTATCTTTATTAGTTTTAATTGCTGGATTAATTTTTATTGCTAAATATCCAATGAAGCTTTGAGTGGCCACCATTTTTTAAAAGAGGAAAATAAGATACAAAATTCCCTGTATTTTCCCAGTTTGTGTGGAAAGAAATCACAATTCCTTGCACTTTCCCTGTTGTGGAGTGATAACCCTGAATAAGAATCATTCTATTTCAACTAATGGATGAAATACTTACATATTGAGTGTGATGGTCAAGTTCTAATGGTATTGTTCCAGATAAAATTTGATCCAATATGACACTGAGTTCCATTCGCGTTTTTGATTCAGACACCAACTCAATTAAAGTAACTCCTATGCTATACATATCAACCTGAAAATACCAATAAACATACATTATTATTCAACACACATTTCTATTATTCAACTTAAAATATCCTTATTTTAAGTTAAAACTAACTTTCTAAACTAATCTAACTTTAAAACTAAATCTTTTAACAAAAAATAAGTGCCTTTTAAGGAATCAAAAAATATTTTTAAGCACTATATACAATAACAAAATGCAAAATAATTTTCAAAGACACTACATGATCACAAATTAACTAGTTTCTGACAAAAAACTCTTTTCTTGATTACATCAGTCACTATAGAATGATCGACAGATTTTAAATCGATATCAGAGGGTGAAAAATGAGGCCTGAAATGGAGAATATCTTGCGAAATGCAACAAAGTTGCACAGGAGAGTGAAATAATCTCACCAAACCCAGCTCAGTGGTTACACATGCAAACTTGCAAGTATTTAATCAAACATGCAAAATGATTGGCGCTTTCATACGCTATTGACCAACGGCTTGCCAAAATGAATTACGGTTGAATGAATTCTGAAAATATTGAATACAACAATGTGAAAACACGGTTTTGCATAATACGTGGGAATATTTGACATGGTAAGGAAAAATATATCATTTTTCGAAAAGAGAAAATTAAGCCCTTTTTAAAAACACCCATTGAAAAAACACCTTTAAGGGCTTTTCAAGAGCAAAAATTAAAAAATAAGCACCTTTAAGCACTTTTTAAAAACGCTATGCACTATGATTTTGTAAAACTTAATATCCTCATTTCAATGCTTTTTAGAGGGGGGAAGTTTGATGCAGAGCACATTATCAACTACAAACCATGTCTTTAAAACTTATTTAATTTATTCAACGTTTCCTCCTGATCAAAAGGAAACAAATTTAAAAACTTCTTTTAAAGAGAGATATTTTATTTTGAATTACTTAGTATGTCTATTTATTCAATTTAATATTCCTTCAATAACCATTGAGATTTTCAAAGATATTTTTAAAAAATATCAGGATTTTCTAATTTTCTAAGCTGCATAAAAAATGGAGCAATAAGTGTCTCAAAAATGATTTTAAAAAAATAGCTTGGATATATAACAATGCAAATATAGTGATAAATTAAGAGCACAGTTTAAACTTGCAAGTTATACCAGGGTAGCCACTCTAATCTGGAAAAAGAATTCCACGTGTTTTCCCAGTACACATTATACATTAAGAGGAGACACACAATTACTGTGCGTCAACTATAATGGGCTAACTATACTAATAATATAGTAATATACAGTACAGAACCCGTTATCCGGAAATCAGAAAACCGGAACGAAATTCGATAAATTTTCCCGCCATTTTTTAAACAAAATTTATTTTCCCTTATAAGATTTTAGGATTTTTCTTTCTTTTTTGAAAGATGTTCACCTTACCANTTAAAAAAATAGCTTGGATATATAACAATGCAAATATAGTGATAAATTAAGAGCACAGTTTAAACTTGCAAGTTATACCAGGGTAGCCACTCTAATCTGGAAAAAGAATTCCACGTGTTTTCCCAGTACACATTATACATTAAGAGGAGACACACAATTACTGTGTGTCAACTATAATGGGCTAACTATACTAATAATATAGTAAATATAGTAAATGAAATAGTTTAGTTTAGCTTAAATATCCCATAGATTAGGCTTTGAGTGATCACCATTTTTTAAAAGGCGAAAATAAGAAACAAAATTCCCTGTATTTTTCCAGTTTGTAAAAAAAAAAATCCCTGCATTTTTCCTGTTATTTCAGGTGATTTTAACATTCCTTGTATTTTCCAGATTTTTCCTGTGGAGTGGTAACCCTGAATGCTGTATTAAAAATATTTGGATAGTAAAAATCACATGGAAATTTTTTGCAATAATGGACATAAAATGATCAGTATTTACAATAAAATCGGCACAAATAAAGTGCCTTAAAAAGTGACCACACAAATTCAAAATATTCGTATTGAAAATAATAACAAACTAAGATAAAATTAGGAGTTCTGAGACCCCACATGCAAATCCATAGCAATAACGGCTGAAAAGGCAACCAAACACACAGATTTACGATGGAATCTCACACACACACAAAAAAAAGAAAACAAGTGTGATTTTTTGAACTTCAAAAAAATTATAAGATTAACTTTTCAGTATACTTAGGTATCGTCGCAGTCCGCAGAAGGAACACCTTCAAGGTTTTGTAAATGATTTTTAAGGAAGATGATAGAAGTAGAAATAATGAATAGTAAACAAAAATAACAGCAAAAGTGTTTCTTTTTTTACTTAAAACCATTAGGCGATGAAACTATAACACAACATTTATACAGTATAGAGCATAATGAGTTTGAATGAAAATTCAAATAAACATTTAGAATATTACAAATCCATACAATTTTGTAATATTTCATTTTTGCAAAATATATATGGGTGATTCTCACAAAATATGACAATTCACTGTCCCTTGCTCCAAGATCTAATACTATAATACAAAAAGAACTTTTTTTTAAAAAAAAAAAAGTATAAATTGCACTGCTGTTAGCATTTTAAAATGACTTTGCACTAGCATTGACTGTTTTGTAAAGTTAAAAAAATTTAATTGAACTTCAAAATGTCATTTTCCTGGCGTGTCCCAAATAATGTTTCCAATAATAAAACTAGCTTCAAAACTTCCAGTAAATTTTTCAATCTCTAATTTTTTTTAATCTCAACCGGTGTAAGCATTTCTAGAATATACGCAGAGGGTATTATTTACAAAAATTTCGCTTAAAAATTTTTTTTTTCCTGTCAATAAATTGTTTGTCACAAGAAAATCAGTCATTTTCCTGGCTACCTTTATTTAGTGCAGAGGTCGCCAAAGTGGTCTATATAGACCCCCAGGGGTCTATTTAACAAAAGCGGGGGTCGATCCGAGACAGGGGGGCGAATGGGGGTCGATCCGAATCGGAAGGGTCGATTGTGGGTCGAAAAAAAAAACAGTTCTCAATGCGCAAATCACACATGCCTAATTAAGTATGTAAAATTTGTGAATTTCTTTTATAATTGACTCAATTTCAGTTTCTTTATAAAACATAAATTAATAAACGTATATTTATTGGGGTGAAACAAGTATTTACGTACCACCGTGCAGTAAGTCATATGCATATGTGCGCTTGTCCAAATGTCACGTGTGACGAGCATTGACGTTACAAATGCAAATATCATACGCAGTTACAGCTATCTTTGAAAACTGTGTTGAATATTTGCAGTGTCATTATTAAAATTTTTATAGTTTTGGATAATTAGTTATTGTTTCAATAAAACCATTCGTTTAGTTTAGATATCAATTTTAATTATCAATGCACAAAAAAGAAAGAAAGGATTAATAATATGGATTAGTACAGCCCGCGACAAAATTATAGCACACCTTGTACTTTTTTACGAAAGTTACAAAACTGACCAATTTTGACGAAAATTAAATTCGACCAATTTTGAACCCAATATAGAGAACCTTTCAAAAGAACACCAGACACACCCATCTCATTGATCAAGAAGCAGTAAATCTTTAGTTACTTTACTTATTATATCTACTTATGCATAATTACTTATTATTTAGTAATAAGGTATTTAAATTTAAATGTTAATATATTTTTTATAAAACTATTGTTACACAATGTACTATTACTTTAATAAATGTTTAAAATCATAAAATAAATATACAAACACAGTATCTAATAGAGTTTTATTTTAATTAACAGAAAATTACTTTTGTGGGGGTCGATGGAGATTTCAAAAAATTATAAAGGGGTCGATGATCAAAAAAGTTTGGCGACCCTTGATTTAGTGGTTTATAACCAAAATTGATAGAGCCAGCAATCAATATCTTATGTGATTAGATACCCTCCTACATGAACATGTCTTGTTGCATGAATAAAGAATCAATTTTCTGGTTCAAAATCTATTTAAAAAAAATTTTCAAGATGAGTAGGTTTTTGTGTTGTCATTTTCCTGGCTTCTTGAAGTCATTAATAACATAAACTACATAGATTTATCTGAGTTATTTTAAGAAATCCTGTTGTTTTCAGCAGAATGTAAACGTCTTATGCCAAAATATTAAATTGAAGTAAAGTTATATGCTATAAAATAGCGAATTTGTCATTATCCAGGCCATCATTTTCCTGGCTTATGAATTCCAGGACATTGAAGTGTTACCAGAAATTTTTTTTACCTGCTAATACTGTAAGGAGGAATAACAAATATTAACCTAATACCAAGTTTATGTATGATTGTAATATGGTTGGATGTAATCAAAGTTATTTATTTATTTAATGATTAATTATTACACACAATTTTATTCTGTACATATCAGCAAAAAATTTTTTTTATTCCTTCTACAGTGGATTAAAAGAATTAATTTAAGCAATTTATGGTCCATCTAACACAAAGGCTTAAGTTGAGTTACTTACGATTAACTTAAAATGACTGTTTATTAAACTTCTAAGATAATATTTTCTTGGCATTCAAGATTTGGTGAATTTCTATTTTTTTTTCTTTCTTTGAGCAAATGTCAATAAACTACACTGCTGTCTGTAAGATATTAATAAATGTAACTAAAGAAGTATACAAACAAAATTTTAGATTATTTTGAAGACATTAAATTCTAAGAAATTTTTTGGTCTGAATTGTCATGCTTAGAAAGAATCACCCATATATTAAGATTTTGTTAAAAAAAATACTTTTGTATCATATTTGCCACTTTTTCTAAGTTCGGGTGCTACGTATGGCATTGTACCACAGTGCCAGTTGGAAGCGGAATCATCCTTCATTTCATCCTCCAGGGTGGCCAAACCGAAATCTCCAATTTTCATGCAATTATTTTTAGTGGAAAAGAAGATATTTTGAGGCTGAAAAGAGAGAAAATAAGTAAATTTCGACAAAAAAATCTCATCTCAAATTGGTACTTTTTATTTTGACCAAAATACTTAGTCTATGACAGACTACAATATTTAAGCTGCCAATATTGTACTTAGAGTAGAATACTATTTGCGTAACTCAGTTATAGTTGGACCTCGCTTTAACAAATTGATTGGGACCGGCAAATCTGTTCATCAAATTGAATATCAATATTCGTAAAAAGTAAAGTATAAAAATATCAATGCAAAATACCCTTAGATATACAGGCAATGAAAAAAATTGATTATTGTTTACCACAAGCTTAAAAATTATAAGTTATAGGTTAAGAAATCAACTTTAAAATGATCTTAATTCTATAATGCTTATTGCTTTTAAAACTTAATACACATAATTACAAATAATTACACAATAACATTACACAATAATTACATACACATAATTACACACTTGGATTAGGACGTGAAATATTCAAAATTTTAAGAGTGAAAAATTAAAAGTTTTTGCCTTATGTGTGAATTTTTTTCCTGCGATTGTTGTTTGTTAAATCAAAGCTAAAAATTTGTCAAATGAGAGCATTTTAGAACACTTTTTGTCGGGACGGAAAAAATATTCGCTAAATCGAATAATTGGTTAAATCAAAGTATCAAATTGGTTAAATCAAAGTCAAGGTTTGACTGTATAAACGATGCAATATTATAAAATTAGTATAATGTACAACTAGGCTAATTAATTAGTACAGTATGTAACAAGAATTAAAAAAAAAAAGAAAAGAAAAGAAACATGAGAAAAATTCATTTTTCCTGTAATAGCTTTCATTTTATTTATTATGTATAAAAAGATATGTTTGTTAAATGATAAATAATTTTTTCTGTTTTATAACTAATTGTTTCAAATTGCTGACGTCTTATACCGATAAAAAGTGGTTATTTATTCAGAAATAGTGTCCTTATTACATATAGTTTTAGTCCTTGTTTAAAATGAAGTTATCAAATATATGTATAAGGTCTTGCAAATTAATGCTTTGGCATAAAAAAAAGCAATAAAAAAAAATTTAAAAAAAAAAACTGAAATTTGATGAAACATTATTGAGGAAGTTAGGATAAAAAATATCACACTTTTAGGTGTTTCTAATATTTCTCTTTCTGTTTCCTCCAAGAATAAAATAGGTTTTTGATGTATTTAGTCCTAACTTGTTCCATAGACTCTGATAGCACTTTTACTATTTACAACTCTTATAGATGCAGATATTGTTAGTAAAGCTTCTAGAAATATACAATAAGGACGGTCATTACAGAACATCCTGAATCATCTGATACGAGTGTTATAATTTAAGCAATGATGAATTTTTGTTTATAATATAGCAAAAATAGCACAAAATTGGTATGAGTAGGGTATTTTGAGGAATGAAGTAGTTGCAAACATAATATTTACGTCATTTGCTGTCTAAATTATCCTAGTCACTTCAGCAGACATAATTATTATTTTATTGATGCTACCCTTTATTTGAAATTAAACATATTGTCTTACAATATATGTGTGCGCTGTTTTTGTGTTTAATTCTGACATTAATTTTCTAATCCACATCTGAAATAGCACTTTTCTTATTATTGCATATCAACTATGCATGAATACATTTCACATATTACTTAATGTTTTTAGGATTAATGCTTCATAAATAAATAAAGCTTAATCAATATCCGTAGGGCACAAAAAACAATATGCAAAGTATTGGGCAAAGTCTGCTTTTTAAAACATCTCACCCCTTTTTAAAAAATTAAATATATAATCAATTAAAAAAATAATGATATTAAAAATGTAAAGCATTTCTTTTGAAAGAAATAGAAGAGATATTCATTTCTAAGATGAAGAAATATTTTCAGAAACAAGCATGAAATAAAGTAATTTTTAGAATATTATAAAATATTCACAATAATTACATTATTCATCAGAGTTGTCATTCAAATCTAGAAAAAAAATTTCCCGGTACATATTATGCACAATATATTGAGACACAATCACTGTGTGTGAGCTAGATTGGGTTAGTTTCATTTAATTGCTGGAAACACCTGAACATACTTATAGTAAATGAAATAGTTAAGTATAGCTGAAATATCGTCCATAAATGTCTCATAAATTGCGCTCCGAGCAGTCACCAATTTTTAAAAGACAAAAATAAGAAATAAATTTCCTTGTATTTTCCCACTTTGTAAAGAAAAAATCAAAAATTCCCTGTTATTTCAGGTGATTTTTAAATTCCCTGTATTTTCCAGGTTTTCCCTATTCTATTGTGGAGTGGCAAAACTGTTTCTTAAAACAAATGGGAAAACAAAATGAACATAGGAAGCATTATCTACAAAAAAAAAGAGGCATTTGGATGGCAGACAATTTTTTAATTGCCTTTGTTATATTTAATTGCCCAGCGACTGCGATGATCAATAATTTTCCATACAACACAGTTCTCTTTTTGTTAATTCTGTGCTTGCTAAATTCTTGAATTTCCAAAGACGTATATCTCCTCACATGCACAGAATCTATTAGCTAATTAATAAATTATTGCAAAGCTGGATTACTATTAGGGTCGATAAAATAGGGTAATTCAAAATGAATTGAGTGATCACAAACATTTACACCTATTGAATGAAAAATAATGTATCCATTAGATTAGCACAGAATGTAGATGGAACTTCAAAAATTTCTTTACGCAAGGAGCAGTGAAGAGGAATCCTGTGCACACGCCAGGTCCTTTGTGAAAATGGCGAGTCCTGTGCATTCTGCATGGTTAGAATTTAACAATTGTCATTCTGTTATCACAGAGTGCAGAGAAGACAATGATACATTCAAGTACCTCCAAACAACATGCGCAGATGTTTGAAGAAACGGGTGCAAAGGGAACAGTAGCGGAAGTATGTATGACTACCAAGACATTGTGTCCGTTGTGACCAAGGGAAGTCACAAAGATAATCTATGTCGCATTTTTTGTATTTTATTCTATAACTGGAGTTGAACAACCAACACATTTTTTGGGTTTACGACTACTAATGTTCAACTCTGAAGCCTCGTCATTTTGAACCCTATCCAGAAGTAAAAGGAGCTCCTGAATCAAGTATTCGGAAAAATTTGCCTTCGTGGAGGACTTTTTGATCGAACTAACTCACATTTGCGATACATGGAAAGGAAAACCAGGAAAACCTCCCACAGTTAGCTTGACGGAAAGGGGATTCTAATTCTTAACCATTGCGGATATTTTACATCAGCACAGTGGTCGGTGCAAGTCGGATGCGGAATTTAAGTCAACCAGTCATTGCAGGAATTTGAACCCATTTCACCTCATTGGAAGGCAAACGCTCTATCATCTGAGCGGCCAAGGCTCTCCCCAACTCTTTGAACCACACACTGTGAAAAGGAAAACAATGTGTGGCTAGCTTGACGGCAAGGGGATGTGAAGCACGTTTACAAAATTTTGAAGTTCTTTCTACATTCTGTGTAAATTTTAATGATAAATTATTTTACATTAAATAGTTATAGCCCTCTGTAATGGTGCTATATTAATTTTGAACTACCCTGTATGATAGACACAATGCAAAGAAATAGTATAAAAATTTTTAAGAGTGAATGATTTACTTTCAAATCTCTATGAATAACACCTTTTGAGTGAATGTGAGCAACTCCACTTAAAATGTCTCTGAAAATTTCAAAAGTAGTCAGTTGAAAGGGTAAAGGATTACCTGAAAATATAAAAAACAACCCATTGAACACAAAAGGTAAAAAATATATTGGCATGAAACAATATTGTTTTTTATTAAAGTATGCATTCGAAAAAGTTTTATCACGGCTTAGTAACTAGATAAAAATTTTGAATTTTGTTTATTTCAGATACCAATTAATCGATTTTTCTTATAATATTTTATGAAAACTGTGATAACTGTGGCTTAGCTTTTATGGATTTATAGAGCAAAAAACACTAAAATTAAACTGAACTATTATTGAAAAAAACAAAATCATAACATAAATAATAAATAGACCAAACAAACTCATTTTTTGACAGACATACTGACTCTTTTGAGTTTAAACAAAAAAGAAACACTATAGTAAGACTGCCTTTGAATTGAAACAAATAATAAATAAAATGATTAATTATGATTTTAAAACTACAGTAGAGTCTCGATTATCCGAGTTAATGTGGACCACGACTAACTGGGATAGCTGAAAAACTCGGTTAAAACGAAGAGTATAAAAAAAGAAAGAAAAAGAGTTAGTATAAATGTAATATATTTAAGAAAAATAAAATTTATATGAGTATACCACATATAATTCCTATTATTATTAAAAAGCTTACTTGACAAAACTTAAAAAGTATACTTTGCGAGAATTAAAGAGTTTTTACTTAAAAAAAGTCCTTAATCGTTTTTTGTTTTACAAAACTTTGGTGCTTTTCTGCAGCAATGTTTCGCCATTTTTTAGGGGTAACAGGAAGGCTGGTGTCATCTCTTTTTGTTGTTCTATGTATTCAGTAGCATTTTCGGCAGCTTTAAGTTCATCTGTGTGAGAGATTTTTATATGTCGATTTTCATCGTCACTGTCTTCATCATCTTCGCTAGGTTCATTTTCATTATTGACGATAATAACGATCATTTCATGGGATGTTATATTATGTTTTCCCGAGTGTTTGGAAGATAAAATTCAGATTTATTTTGCGGCGGTATTTTTTAAAAAAAAATAAACTAGAACAAAAAAATCCTTAAAATATTTGATAGCTCGGTTAAAGCGGAAACTCGGATAACCGGGGCTCGGATTATCGGGACTCTATACTCGTGAAAATATAGCAGAATAATACGTTTGATTGCTTAAAAAAAATATCATTATCAGTAAAATGTCTACAGTTTTGCAGCAGCAATGTGAAAATTACAATGTAAACCATTTTAATTCTCTAAAGTAATTCAGTGATAGATGAAACACAAAATAATTTTTTTTAATAAAACAGTTTAAACATTCATTTTGACTCTAATATTAATGAAAGATATGGTTTTGAAATGAAAGAAAACAAAAACCTTTTAACAACCTTTAGCTCGTTCATCCATCCAAAACCTGAGATCAAAATCACAATATTCCATTTGGATGTACAACATCACCCTCTGAAATAAAATTTTACATCTGAGAAGTCTCCAAAATAAAAAAATAATTTTCTCAGCTCAGCATGCCATTTGTTAAATCAATGGACAAGATTTTTTTGAAACAATCTTATTGAAATTTCGCACATTTTTATAGATGGAAGTTGACTAGATATTGTGAAAAGGAACTTTTTTTCCTTAACCTTCCATTAGTCGCGCACTTGTTTCCGACATGGTTAATCGCGTTGCACCTATGAGGTGTTTCCGATTTTTTGAAAGCCAAATGAAATTTAGTCTAGTTTAAATAGTTAATTGTTACCAATTTAAGACTCTTTAGAGAGATAAATATCAAAAAACTTATTTAGCGAAGTACCGAAGATAAATTTTTCTTGCTCCCGCGTCGGATCTCTTCNGACTTTCCAAAAAAAGAAAATCATAGTTAGGATCTGTGCAGTAATATTTTTTCCCTATCGTTTTAAGTTCTTAATTTATAAACATAAAATTAATAAAATTCAAAAACATTTTCAAAGACTTTACATAATCATAATAAAATAACTAGTTTCTGATAAATATTGCGGAGAAAATTGAGAATATCATGCATTTTTTTGTAATTTAAAACGACAATTGACGCGGCAAAGAAAAAATTAAGCACTTTTTTTACAAATGCTTTTTTTAAGCACTTTTTTTACACTTTTTAAAAAACGCTATGCGCCCTGTACAATCATTTTTATCAGTATTAATGCATGAATGTTATTAAACCAAATGTTAAAAATACTATCCTGTATTGTATAGTGATAATAAAAAAAAAGTAAATAATGAAAAAGCTTACTAATAATGGTGCTTCATTTAGTATTTCAGAACATTTTTTGTTATCTAAATATGTGGGATTCTGCTTGCTGACTTCAGCATTTTCACTGAAAAAAATTTTTGTAAATTTTAATGGAACAGATGATTTTGTATGAAAAAAGAATAAAACTTCCTTTTTAAAGAATCATTTTGTAACTGGTGACATTCATAAGAGATTCATAATCTTAAAGTCACATGTTATATGTTCATTAATTTTAAACTTCACTTTGACTTTTTATTTCACAATACATATTAAAAAAAATAATAATTCTTCTCCATGGAAGCCAAACATAACAACAATCTAAAAGCTTTAAGGCTTGTAAGAAAGAAAATTAAGAACTAAGAATGGAAAATTTTAAAAATTGAACTTTTTTAAAAACTAGAAATGGAACGTTTTAAGAGCCAGAAATGAAACATTTTAAAAACCAAAAATGGAACATTTTAAAACTTAAAATAGAACATTGTTAAAACCAGAAAGGGAACAGTTAAAAAACCAAATGGTGAACATTTTACTAACCAAAAATTGAACATTTTAAGAAACAAAAAATGTCTTTTAGAAAAAAAGAATCAAAAATCAGAAATGAAAAATATCTACTTATACTGGCTTCCAAAACAGTTTTAAAAATTTCTAAGGATTATAAGAAGCGTTTTCAATTTGGTAAAATGCACTTCAATTTCTAAAATCCTAGACATCATAGATCAGCAAACAATCTTTTGTAGCATTTACAACGTTAACAAGAAACATGATTATTTTAGGGGCTATAAAAACAAAATCAGATGCAAAAGTGCATTTTTTATACACTGCTAATAACACAGATTCATAGATAGTAACTTTATTTTGTGCTTTTTTTTAAATTTTATTTATTTATTTTACAAAAAATTTTATGTTATGTTTTAGAGAAGAAGCATAAATTCCATAATTTTAAATTTTTTGGAATAAAAAAATTTAAATAATTAAAAAAAAAAAACTCAGATTAAAGTGATTTAATAAAAATGCATACACATTAAGCTCAAATTCAAAACTTGAAGAAAGGCAAATGGACAGACACCCTGTTTCCAATAAATTCAACAGCTTTAAAAAATAGAGATATCTTTTGTTATTTTAGTTATAATCAGAATCTGAAAGAAACCTATTTCCTCCAGGACACTGGGAAAAAGATGGGTAAAATATAAGAGTCAAAAAGACCTTCATAACTATTACATGATCTCTATATAACCCAATATAAACCCTATATGATTCCTTTATAACTGTTTCTGTTACTGAACACATAAATCTGAAAATTAAAAACAAAATCCACATCTCCTTTTTAAAACAGCTATTTTCTTAACTTGTATTTCAGCTTTATACATAATTTTAAAATCTATGTACCACATTTCAGAGTTAGGGTATTAATAGTATTTCGTTATAAAAATTAGTGCGCTATTTGCAATTGTGATTACAATATCTGATTTGTAGCAGCGTCAGGGAACATTGCCAAATCTTTCAACAAAAAATAAGCACTTTTTAAGCACCAAAAAATATTTTTAAGCAATAACAAAATGCAAAATAATTTTCAAAGACTTTACATGATCAAGATAAAATAACTAATTTCAGAGAAAGAACTCTTTTCTTGATTATATTAGCCACTATAGAATGATCGAGAGATTTTTCAATTCGATATCAGAGGGTGGAAAATGAAGCCTGAAATTAAGAATATCGTGCAATATGCAACTGAGTTGCACATGAAAGTGCAATACACTCACCGAACCCAGCTCAGTAGACCCACAAGCGGACTCGCAAATATTTCATCAAGCATGTAAAATGATTGGTGCTTTCATACGCTAATGACCTACGGTACGCCAAAATAGATTGTGGTTGTGAAATAAATAAATTGCGAAAATCTCTCGTGAATAAATTGTGAAAATGTTGAATGGTACAATGTGAAAACCGCAAGCTTTTGCATAAAACGTGTCCGAAATCGGCACAGTAAAGAAAAAAAATCTCATATTCGAAAAAAGAAAATTAAGAACTTTTTACCGAAAATAAGCACCTTTAAGCATTTTTTAAAAACCATGAGTGTAGATGTTTAGTATGTGAATGAGTAATTCAATTCTATTTATAATTACAAAATATTGCATACCTTTCACTGGAGAGGTAAAATGACTGGCTGGTATCGGTGATAGTTCCGGAAGTTTTCAAAATGCTTTTACTGTCACTTGCCTCATCATGAGTGGAACTATCAAACGAGTCAATATCTTCTCCATTGTAATTTGCTAAAATTTATTCAATCAATCAGAAAAATAAAGGATTGTCAGAGTTTCTAAGTATAAAAATCTGTAATATTACAATAACTGTCTACCTTAACCAACAATCTGGGAAAATATGGTCCCAATAGTCGGGTCAGAAGATCGCTCCAAAGTTTGGACACTTTTGTATAGGGAAAAACCGATAAAAAAAGGAGAAAACGTTTCATGTACATGCCCATCACTGGTCTAATGGTTACTGTACTGGGCTATGGGGCCAGTGGTTGAGGCATGGATGAAACTTTCTCTCTGTGCCCTTCCTTCTGTGTGATTATGTAAATCTAAAATGGATATAAATGGATTCTCGGTTGTATGGCGTGGATGACGCTACTCCACCGCAGTGGATTAGCCACAAGTGCCCACTGGGTAACGGTGCAAAAGTAGCAATTCTGAGGCTAATAGGAAATACATTAAAAAGAATAAATGTTTAATCTACACAAAACCTTAACTAGGCTGTTATCTGTGAGGAAAACTGAAAATCATCACAATTAACATAACTAAATTAAATTAAATTTAATAATAGAAAACTGCAAAAAGTATTCATTTAATTTATGTCTGTGTGAGACATTTTTTAAAAATTTATTCGCAACACCAGTAAAACTTGAAAATGTTTAACAAAAAAACTATTGTTATAATTTTTTTTAAATTTTGATATAATCAATTTCTTTTGTTGGAAATTATTTGAATTTCATAACTGTGTTATTAACACATTCTTTCATTTTCAAAATATTATATGTTATCAGCAATGGAATTAACAATTAAAAAATAAAGAAATGTTTACGGTAAAAAATAAAAAAAATAATAAAACCTTTTAAGNATAATTTTTTTTTTTTTTTTAATAATTTTATGACCAAAAAAAAATTTTTTTTTTCTTGAATAAATCATTTTTTACGCTTTATAGAAACAAATTTTACACTTAAATATTCAAAAATATTTTTTTAAAAAAAAGTCTTATACATTTTTAAGCAGTAATTGACAAAATATTTTAATTGGAAATATAAAGTATTTCAATTAATCATAATATTCAATCAATAAGACTACAAATCATAAACAGTTCTGTTAGATGGATATTCAACACTTATTTACAAGCAATATAAACTTATATTTAAAAAAACTCACATCTAGAAAATAAAAATACAACATGAACAACACTGAAAATCACTTTGAGTAAGTAGGTAAGCAAAAAAGACTGGACAGTTGTATAAACTTCTCTTGTAGGTTCATTATTGGAACCTACAAAAAGTGCTTTTACCATTCAGATTTTTTTTTTTTTTACAAGAAAGACAAGGATATTGTCAAAGATACATAAATGTAAGAAAATATAGCTTTAAGCTTACGCTCTTACACTCTTAAATTGTCAAGTATGAAAGCCACTGGCACTATCCCTTTTTTGCGACTTTTCATAGTGTCACTGTGTCTGTAATGACTCGACGCTTTCCTGTGAATATGCGGAATCAAAGAAATTCTCTATTTTTGCCACATTTTTATTGCAATGCTTAATTAACAAATCTAAAATTACAGAAGTTTTTTAAAAGGTCTTTTATATGAAATTCACGAATCTGTGAATGTTAAACATTTGCTTCACTATCATCCATCAAAATATATTCGAAGATAACAAAAAGACACATATTTAAATAGCAAATGGACACTAGTCTTCTTTTTTCTCCCCCTCTGAATGAAAATAGCGACAGTGTGAGTGTTTAAAAAAATTAAATTGCAAAATTTTTGATGTTTTCAAAGATTTGGGGGACATTTTTTAGGAGTATGAGAGATTCTTTCAAAATTGAGGAATCTCTAGCTTTTGAGGTATGTGGGCATCAATGTAAACATGTAAAAAATATTTTACGAGTCTCCGTTAAATATATATGACAAAATTTGAAGCACATTTAGCACGTAAAATTGCTTTAGTACCGCAATAAGAACCCACTTTAAAACAAAATCCTTTTGTTTACACTTTTACCTCAATTAGCGCTTCTGTTTTCATATTTTGTTATCTGGTAATCTTATTACAAAAATATTTTAAATTATTCTTGAAAATTTTCCCATCCACTTAAGTTCATTAGAATTCGCGACTCACTTTATAGATTTCATCCTATGTTTGGTTCTGTTTTTTTCTTTGCATTATTTTCTGTTTTTTTTTAAGTGATATTTACTACTTAATGTGTTCTATTCTATTTTGTTGCAAAAATTGTTTTGAGTGCTTCTCACACTATTGCTTTGGCTATATTGATACAATTTAGAAAGCAGTCCTTTTTGCAGACATAATCGTGTGAGCTGATGATGAAATTATATCCTTCTGTTATTAAAATTGTTTTTCTTTTTTCAAATAATTTTTTCTCTTCATTATTCTGTAATTTTTTCCATGTTTTCTCTACATTTTAAACTTATTTTATGAGTTCTGTATACTTGCAGCTTATGCTCAGTAAATAAAACTTATTGATTTTCCCAATCTTTTTCATTTTTCTTTTTGTATTTATTTATTGTGCTATATATATATATACCACACCTGCCAACATTGGAGAAATAAAATAACTGAGATCTTACTAGTGACAATTTTTGGGATACAAGCAAAGTTTTGATACATCATGCATAATCATGTAAGTCAAAAAGAGAAATTCAAAATTGGAAATAATATGAGCACTTACATTTAGTGAAGAAAAAAATATGTAAATAAATATTAACCTAAAGAAGATTTCTATAATTATGATTGTTTATTATGATGATTATTTATAATTACTCAAACTATACACACTAAACATACTGCAGTACTGGCAACAGCACCATCAGTTGAGGAAATAAAAGAAGTATTTTTGTCAAATTTTGCTTTTTTTTCTTTAAATTTCTTCAACAAATAAGGAGAAATGTGAGGTAATATACAGGTAAACAAGAGAAACAGAAGTCTTTGTTAAAAAACAGGAGACTTGGCAGAGATGTATATAAAGCACTTAAACAGAGTAAATATAAGTATCCTTTATAAGATATGTATGGAAATGGAAATTACCAAAAGAGGAGATATACTCCAGCCATGCTTGATTATATCCGACCACATTTAAATGGTTTAAAGATGCAAAACTTTTCACTTCACGGATCACCTAAAAGTATTTTAAAGAAGAAATAAGTTCACTGAAAAAAAAAACAGACAATTTTTAAGTTTTATAAATTATAAAAAGAGAAGGAAAAAATACCATTTTCCTCTAAAATGAATATAAAGTTTGTAATACACTTTTCTTAAGGCTGTTTTTTGAAGGCATCCTATGAAATGATGCTTTTTGGGGGAATAATATGCTAATTTTCTATAACTGCTGTAGAGTTTGAAACTGCTACTCATGAATGTTAGATCAAGTTGAGCCCATCTCAGTGCTCTTATTTCGAAAAGGGTGCAAAACATCAATATGGAGCCACAGTTTTGTGAAAATGGAAAGCAATTGCAGTATAATTTTTTAATATCTTAAAACTTACATCGATGCTGAATTACTTGGGCTCATAAAAATTTGCAAAAACTGAGAATAAGGTGGTGATTTTGATAATTTTCATCTAACAAGGGAAACTAGGGAAGTGTGACTTGTCAATTTTGAAATAAACTAGTGGGATGTATGCCTTATGAGGAATAATTTTAGGGGGCAACATTCGTTTCGGCCCATAGAAGGTTCTGTGAGAGATAAAAAATAATTCAATGTATAGAAAAATCGGTATTTTATTACTTCAATGCAGACTATTAGTTATTGTAATTGTCTCATAATCCAATTAATTTGTAATTAATTGGATAATTAATTAATTTGCTAGTTGATAAATTAATCAAAAAATTAATAAATCATTAATAAATTATTAATTAATTAATTAATTTGCAGTTACATACTCCAATTAATTTAGAAAGTTTCTTGGAAAAAATATTTAAAAAATTTGATGTCAATTTTTTTTAAAATTAACCTAACAGGTTTTTCTGAAAAACTACAGATATATAAAATTTTCGAAATCAATTTTGACAATAAATATGCATTATATAGTACGTGAAAGTACCACAAAATTAATTGGAGTATGAGATAATTACAATAACTAATAGTCTGCATTGAAGTAATGAAATACCGATTTTTCTATACATTGAATTATTTTTTATCTCTCACAGAACCTTCTATGGGCCGAAACGAATGTTGCCCCCTAAAATTATTCCTCATAAGGCATACATCCCACTAGTTTATTTCAAAATTGACAAGTCACACTTCCCTAGTTTCCCTTGTAAGTGAAAAAACATCGCCAAATTGACAATTTTTAAAAAAGTTTAATAACTTTTAAAAATATTTAAGTTATTTGTACGTTCTAAAACCCAGAATGATTTTTTCACCGCTAGATTATATATTTACTTAAAAATCATTGCATTGCTTCAAGTGTGAGGCACATAAACTGCGGCACTTTTTATTTTCCTATGCAACAGAGCTTCGAAAAAAAGTGTTAATAATAAGCTTAGAAGAGCATTGATTTCTGTGTCACAATGGCTGTGCAGTACTAAAATTGAAATGAGTTGTTCAGGCTTTATTTTTGGATATTTCATTTCATGCTTCTTAGTAATTTGTCCTGACTACTTTGCTTCAGCAAATTATATTTCACGAAAAATGTTGTGAATTTTGTAGAATCAGTAGAATTTTGTCCCCCTATTTTTTAAAAAACTTTACATTATCTTTACATTTCTGACAATTTACATGGTGTAAAATATTATTTTCACTATCCAATATAGCAATAATATATAACAGAATAAAAAGCATATGTGTTACCTTTTCTTAAAGGGACCACCAAATTAAACTCTTTTGTATATAATGGGTAAAAGTCCATAGAATACAAATTTTTCTTCAGATTTTGACATTGTATGTGTTTTTTTTCTTTCTCTCTATTCATTCAGGATTATACAAAAACGAACTTGATAGGCCACAAAGCAATTTGCAAACAATCTAAATTTAAAATCATCTGCTGGCAGGTCAGAGAAAAAAAAGTCCTATAACAGGGTGTTCAGTGAGAAGATTTTTTCCTGCATCATGTAAATATTTAATATTGAATTTTATTAAAAAGAATTTTCATTTCAAATATATAATCAGAGTAAAATCAAAAATAATAGAAACACAGTTCATCACAGGTTAATGTGACAAATGCTATAGTTTAATATAGCTGATATATATCATACTTGAATATCCCATAGCTTACAGTGGTCACCTTTTTTTAAAAAAGTGGATATGGAATAAGACCCATACTGGCAACTCTGGTGAGGTTGAAAAGCACCGAGGAAGGAAACGATGATTTAAAAATAATACGGTGAATTGGGTATAATATAAAAAAACACAACTACTTCCACTTAGTAGGAATAACATTTACCATGACGCAATGCTAAATTCTATGCCACTATCCACATAAATCAATTATTAATCAAAAATCGAATATCAATTACTTTTTTTTATAATGCAATAAAATCTGGCGAGCAGCTATTTAAACGATCAAACACTTCGTTTGTTTATTTGTGGCTTGAAGTTAGGCTCGCAGAAAATGCCGTTCATGGGTTAAATTTAGTAGGAATAACACAACCTGAGACGTAGGCTATAGTATACCCAATTAATCCTCACTGTGTAAAATTTCAATAAACATAAATAAATTTTTTTTCAAATAATGCCTTTTACTTTTAAAAAATCAGAATCTCTTTTGTATTTGAACACAACTTTCTTCACAGCATAACAGATATCATCGATTTTATGGCGTGCCTAAGAAAAAAGTTCTTATCAATACAAATTTTACAAAAATAGAATAAGCAAAAATCATTAATCAGAATTGAACAAATAAGAATTAAACACCAGAAATAAATAAATATGGCATATTAAAGCTTATTTAAACTTTTAAGCTAGTGTTTCTAAATCAGTTTTAGCTAAAGATACACTAAAAATATCTAGCTAATTTGCTACACAACTTAATATAGAGATGTGGGGAAAAAATTATTCGCAAACCGTTTTCAAATCTCCTGATTAAAATTAGCAGTTAAACAATAAAATAAGAGTTATACTATTTTTTAACGGAAAGTAAAATTTTAATAAAAAAAAAGTATAACATAAGATATGGAAGAGAACTTAATAATGGCATCATAAAACAATTTTTAGAATAAGAAATAATCATATGGAATTAAAAATTTCCTCATTAATTCGTGAATTTAAGAGGCAAGAATAATTCTGAATAAAAGATACACATTTTAATGAAGAGTTTAGAATTTTTAATTTGAATTTTAACGAAATTATAACATAGAATATCTATTTTATTGTAGTTTTAAGTAGAAAGCTTTTTGAAGGTTTTGGGTTATCTAAAAATAATTTTAATCTTCATAAATGGCTATATAGTTTTCATTATTCAACACACTATTTAGTTTTACCTAAATATTTCTGAATTAGAATTTCAAAATAATTTTTCATGTAATTATTTAGTGTACATAAAAAAAGCAAATTTTATTAAAATATAACATTTTTCTAAAATATCTATATATATTTTAAAATATAACATTAAAATATAACAGCATAGCATTAAAAAAGAGAGAAAATTGATAAAAACTATGTTTAGAAAAGAAAAGGAATAATTTCATTGCATTTAGCTTTTGATATGATATTTTTTTTTTCAAATACATAATGTAAAATTTCATATGTATTTAGCTCTAAAATAAATAAATAAACGTTTCAATTTGAGATGATTAATTTAAATTTAAGAGTAATTCCCCCCCCCCAAAAAAAAGGTAAATAAGTTTAGTAGTTGGCTTTACATGCTTGCTGATAATTTTATAAGCTATATCCCATTTTTTTAATATGAAAAAAATCAATTTAAATATCAGATTTCGGCATCATAGTGTCAACACAATTTTATCAATTATTCACTAATTTTCTTTCATATGACTTGAATTATTCTGAATAAAAATTCACTAAAACTTCTCGCAATGTGCAATAAAAGAAAAAAAAATCACTTAAATAATATTTAAGGAATTAATATTAAATTAATGCTTAGGAACTATTAATTGTTCCATTGGGTTTTTCCTTTCTATTGAGATTCTACCCACACAATTTAAAATAATTTTGGTAATATTTTATTTTACAAACATCATTGAACAGTCGACACTATTTTTAGGGTTAACAACTACTAATGTTCAACTCCGTAGCCTCGCAATTTTGAACCCAATGCAGAAGAAAAGGGAACTCCTGAATCATGTATAGGGAGAAATTTGCCTTCAAAGAGGTTTTTTTGTGGAAACTAATCCGCATTTGTATTACAGGAGAGGAAAACCACGAAAACCTTCCACGATTAGCCTAATGGCAAGGGGACTCTAATCCATGATCCACTGAGGATATTTGACGTCAGCACTGAAGTCAGTGCAAGACGGATGCAGTACCAGCCATCACTGGGATTCGAACCCGGTTCTTTTCATTGGAAGGCGAAGGCTCACTTCATTTTGGGAGCCTTGAAGAAAATTGACAAACTATTAGCGACCAGTAAAAGTAATAGGTTTTTCACAGTACCCTAAGGAGTATCATTTTAATCAATAAAAATTATATGAATCAAAACACTAAATACTACACAGGTAATATATAAATGAAGAGATTAAAAGTGAACATACTTTGCATACAGTGCCAAAACCACCTCGGCCTATCCTCGACACCTCTTCAAACTCTGATTGATACTTCTCAAAGTAAATGGAAGCCCCTTTTATCACACTGCAGCATAAAACATTTAATGAAACAAAAAATCTACTTTCGAAAAACTCAGAATGTTATAAAGCATGAAACGTCTTTAAACAAGTACAGTAAAACTTGTGTAAGTTGACCACTTGTGGTGCATTGTTTTAATGGTCAACTTAGACAAGTGGGAAACTTATAGAGGGGGGGTGGGTCATTGTTTACTTTTTCGTTTCCTATATCATGTTGCTATATATTTAAAGTTTTTTTTTTACTTGACTTAAAAATTTTATTTAGCAAATAGCCAAATGAATAGATTAAGAAATGTGTTTAAACCTGAATGAACTTCAATTTGTTACATATACAAAATTCTAATATTTAACTAACTTTCTTTTAAAAAAATTATTTCGTTAGTTATGCATGTGAAGTGTTTAATAAAAATAATTTCTTAATATATCAGGACTCGAAAACATGTAATTTGAAAACTTTAACAAAACAAAATTATTTAAAAATTATTGAAAAATTATAAAAGATCAAAGCTTATTTCAGAGCATTCATTTATTCAAATGCTCACTATTGCAACTGGAAGAGCAACTTTTCAACTAACACACCTGTTTTCAATGAATGAATGAAAGAAATGGTCAAAAGCTGACCCCCTACAGTTTCCCCAGATGGTTAACTCACAAAAGGGTTTAGATACACCATTTCACCAAACGAGTGAAATTTTAACATACATTGCAAAATGACAGAAAATTTTCTGAATTTTTTTTCCGGTCAACTTATGAGGGTTTTAGAATAGAATTTCATAATGCTCCTAGACAAAATTGACTTATTTCGGTGGTCAACATACAAGATAGACAGGTGGTCAAGTTACAAAGGTTTTGCTTCTTTATATTATATAAGAAAAATTGATAATTGAGGTCAACTTATGCAGGTGTCCAACTTACAAGGGTGGTCAACTTGGCAGGTTTCACTGTAGTCTATTTGCAGGAATATTACACTCCGTGATCTGTCGCACTAACTACAATCGCCAACCAAATAGATCTTAAACTTGCAAATTAAAAAAAAAAAACATGTAGATGTCGGTTCGAGGTTGGTAACGAGTTATATTTTTCGAGTTGGTCCCTCCCTGTGATGTTTTTTTAAATTTCTGTTTTAGTTTCTCGCCAGCCACTGCCAGGAAGTTGCCAAGACTTGGTGATGCCACAGATCACGATATGGAAGTATTATTTGGGTGCTTATTGCATTTTTACTCATTGCAGACAGTCAGTAATCTACAAGGTCCTACATCTTGACAGTAGGACCCAACACACTATTTCAATATTTAGATTCCTTTACATGTAGTCTTAAAGCTAGAATTATAATTTAGTTCTTTGACAGAAAATATTACCTTTTTTTATTTATTTGAGAGTCTCAAGGAAATCAAACGTGAAAAGTGACTGATTGCACTTACTTTTGACTTTTATTTAAAGAATCCAAAGCATTGAGACGCAGATCTGATTTCATTTCAAAGAGTTCCTGCAAAGAGGGAAAAAATATTTAGGACAAAGAACAAAAAAATTACTAATGTTAATTGGAGATAATTTGTAATATCAGGGGCAAAAAAAAAAAAAACAATGGAATATCTGAACATCTCTAATCAGCAAATACACAAAATAAATAGAATTCTTACACTTTTTATTCAGGAACTTAAAATACAGCGAATGATTACACACTGATTGATTTGATATTTTAAAGTATTTCGCGAGTAAAGTTTGCTAATTTACTTGATTTCTTATTTTAAAAAGCTCTTTTTAGGCGTCATGAAGAGAAGAAAATACTCCCTCATTTACATCTTGCTGTATTAGGAAAGTTTTCTCTGTTTCCAACTCATGCAAAGCATTAGAAAAAGTTTTCACTGGAGATTCCGTATCATCGACTTCTGTGTCTGATCCTCTATTCATTGTTTTAAAAAAATCTACTTTATTAACTTCAGTTGCATAGATAAATTGTCCATCATCACATGTGACATCATCGTTAAAATCTATTCCAGGAGCAATTTCTTTCCATATGACTTCTGAAGGATGAAATGAAGAGGATTTCATAATTTTCCATTCATGTCCCGGGAAATCTTGCTTTCTGAAAGCATTTTTCAATTGTATTTTCCAAAACTTGGTCCCAAAATTGTTTTTAAAAAAATAACTCTTCCAAAATAGTGGCTCTGTACCTAATCGCTCCTCTACCGATGCTATAATTTTTCTCATAAGCAACTTTCTTTATTTAAGTGAGATTCAGAGCTATAAAAAGGGAAAAATCAAACTTGTGATAGGGAGAATGATTAGACTTTTCCCCCAAGAGGTAAGGACGAACAAGAACTGTTTTACTTTCTTTTTAGATTAGTAGAGGTGCGCCCAGATGGTATTTGCATGGAAATGTCATGTCGTGCATGTGATATTTACTTTTGCAATTATTTTTGTCTTATTAAATTTGTTGTGTTATTAAAAAGTTATCTTCAATGATCAGGTTTAAAGCTTAAACACATCAAAATCCTTATTGAATTCGAATCCATAAAAGTGGCATTTCAGAATGCTTAAAATTCTTACAGTTTATTATAAGGTAAGCTATTACTAGCATTAAATGTGAGAGATGCAAAGAAAGACCTCATTACTTTTGGTCATAGAGAACAGCTCACTGGTGCTCAAATTATAGTGAAAAAGAACAAGCGAATGGTATTTAGCATGCTAACCAAGCTTAACATGCTAATTATTATTATTCCACAAGAAAAAAAAGTGTATTACGCAGTAATTGTTTTTTTTTTTTCCTCGAAAAAGCTTGCCTAAATGTGAAATGCTAGGTATAAAAGAAACCTGTACAGTTTAAAGATATAAAAGAAACTTATGATAACAATTGAAAAATAAACAGAAAAAAATATTGATTTAGAAATTTATGTTTTTTTTTCAAAGTTATGATAAATTAGAAGAAAAAATTTTTTAAAAATATCATTATTTGCAGTTTTGCCACGCCTCAAAACTGTAGTCCGTAGGAGGTTGATTTCATAATCAAATAAATTTGGTTCCTTCAACTGCTATTTAATAACTCTTATTTAAATTTAGAAATAACATCAGAATTAATAATTTGATGTACTGTGTAAAACATACTTTCATCAATTCCTTTTCAAACTCAGCAACTGCTTGATTTCTGACAGACAACAAAGCATCCATGTGAAATTTCAGTTCATCTGTCACCTGCATGAAATAATATAATACATATTAAACAATGTACATTATCCAAGAAAAAACTTTAAAAACAAGCGTGAAAAACTTTACCTTTGTTTGAGTGAGTTTACTCCACATTTCTAAAAATAAGATTAAAAAAGAACAATTAAGAAACAAAAAACAATGCAATCTTAAATAGGAAAAACTTTTTTAGAAAAAATACTGCTAACATATCCTATGTGAAGCACTTAAGATTCTTGCTTGTTCACCTTATTAAAAAATATAAACAGTGTAGTACTTCTTGGTGAATACAGAATATATTATTCTAATAATAATATTCAATCAATAGAAAGTTCTTTAACTCATAAACTTCACTAATTAAAATATAATTTTAAAAAATATGGGAAAAACAATTTTTCTTCCAGCAAACAATTTTTTAAATCTTTGGCATTTCCAAATAACATTATCAAATTTGCACTTTTGTGTTTATTAATTCTAACCAATGTGGAATACCTTCCCCTCCCCCTCCCAGTCTCTCCTGTTCTGAAAGGCTTATCCAAAAGGTTTCTCTAACAAAATCAGTATTGTTATCATGATTGAGAACTTAGGATGAAAAAAAAGAGGGGTGGTGGTAAGGGTGGAATAAATGTCCCATTAATGAGATTTTGCAAAATTAATGAAATTTAAATTTTAGATTAGCGGAACTTTGAGGAAATTTTGTCGGAATGTAAACTATTGGTTCACGGAAATCTGCAAAACGACAGTTTTGAGATTCGCGGAATTCGGCGAATGAGTGAAAGAATCACATGCCTAAATAAGAATGAAAAGCTGTATAAAGTGAAATAAATCTGATTTCAAAAAAAGTATTACAAATATATTCTCACATACTTACTTAAAAATAAAAGCTGTCTCCTGTGTGCGCTATTTTCTACATTTCTACACACAATTTCAAGCAAGATTTGCAACAATAGAGTGTTGCTTTCAAATGGTGCTTTCCTTCCATCACTGCTTACATCTGTTCGTGGAAGATTAAAATATTTTAAGCATTTATGTTCACACAATTATCACATATAAGGCTCATTAATGGTGAAGCGAGTAGTAAAAAGAAATCCTTACCCTTCTGTTCAAAAATCACAGAGAATAAATTCAAGCAACATCCTTTTTGGCTTGTTAAAATAATTAAATTTATGTGCTCCTTAAAAAGCTGGGGCATATACAATATATATCTTGCTAATGCACTCTTTGCTGCATCAGACAAACCAGAAAGTTTGGATTATAGGAACATTATAGATATTTCCATCATCAAGAATGTAATAAATCTTTCATTGTCACAGATCATTGGGCATAAATTTAGTTTCGATAATAACAAAATTATTTTCCTGTCTGCCACACCAGCTGATCTTGATGCTCTGGGATCGTCTTTCATTCAAAAGAATGCCAGACAATGACTTTATTTTCTCGCCAGCTCTTCAGGTTATTTAGAAATGAAATCTGCCCTCATTTGTCCCTCTTGGCTATTACAGTTTTCTAGTTCCATTTTTCACCTTTATTTGTTTATATTTCTTGGGCATTTTTACACTATCTATTTTGGTTCATTCCATCAATAATTTTTGTAACATTAATTGTTAAACATTAAGTTTCATTATATACATTGCATAACTGGTTAGAATTATAATAACTCTAGATAGTGTAAGCATAAGCAACAAGAAAGATTACTTAAGCATGAGAGAACTACCATAAAATACAGATTAATATGTTCATGTTCATGATGAAATTTTTTAACAACAGCCCTCTAGTCTAGTTCGTCATCAAAATTAAATTCAACCTATTCTTATTTCTTTCCTATTCATTTACTCTTCCCAACTTCAAATAGACCCTTGACTTGAATTTTATAAAATAATTCAATTTATTGAAAATTTGTAGTTTGATTTGAGGTTCTTTTACGGAAAAAAATAATCAAACATAAAAATTGTTTATTGCCTTAGGCTAAGCATTTCGAAAATTGGCTAATTATTTGAAGTCCTCAGCGTGGGCCCTGACTATCATAAATTCTTTTTTAGAATACCAGTTTGAATTAAAATTTTTAAATTATAATAGTATAACAACAATAATTACATTTTGTACCAAATAATATAAAAATTAAAAGTCGAAATACCATTTTCCATCAGAATTCTTATTGAATCCGAATCCATCAGTCGCTTACAAAAATAATAAAAATTATCAAGACAACCTGCGTTAATTTATAACAAATCGTAACAAATTCAGATTAATATGGATTAATGGTATTTCAAAATTAAAAATGCAAAACTAAAAGTGGTGCTTATAGACTTATTTCTTAAATAACCCTGTAATATTGAATCCGAATCAGGTGATTTATTTATCTATTAATTTTTTTGATACTTTAATTATTGCAAAAAACTTGATTACTTAAAATATATATATATAAAATTAATAAATAAGTAAATCAATCTTCATAAATAAATCAATTGAAGAATGACTACTCCTAATATTTATTTTAGAGTGTTAAAACAATATACATACACTCGCAGTTAATAAGTTAAAATATTTAGATAATGAAAAAAAGAAAATTATTGGAAAGTATTTTTTACTACCGAATCACTAGCAATGATAAAAGGGTTAAAAACACTTAATCTGCTTTAGTAGAAGAAACAGAAAGGAAATGAAGGATTATTATTAAAAAACTTCTGAAAATAAAACTGGTTTTTGATGTTCTGCTTAGCTAACAAAATACAACAGAGAGTCTTCATTTTTACCTCAAATAATAAATAATTTGCAATTCTAACACGTTTAAATTTTTCATTTTATTCAAAATGTCACAAAACTTATTTTAACTAAATTATTTCTTATATTAAATAATCAAGCAAAATAATAAATGTTTATGAATTACCTTTCAAAATATACCCACTTTGGTCATCATATTTTAAAAATGTTTTTATTAGTTTTCTCTTGTCTTCAAAAACTTCAGTCATTTCTATTTAAAAAAGGAAAAATATATTAACAAAAACTACTTAAAAATTATATATCTGAGTATCCTTCATGTTAAAGTTACAAATCTCTACAATGTGGATAAAGTTATAGGAAAGAAGTTTGTAATGTTGGTTTGTTTTCCCAGTTCATAAAGAAAAAATAAATGTTTCCCGTATTTTTCCTGTTTTTTCAGGTGATTTTTAAATTCCCTATATTTTCCTTGTTCTCCCAGTGACGTGGCAATGCTATTAGACTCCTGAATCATACATTAGTATGCAGACCCTAACATCCTAAGTTTGGACAAAAGAATTTTGTAGTTTTTGATTAGCTAAAATAAATTTTTTAATATAATAACAATACATTGCTTTAATATTATAAAACAACTATTAATTAAAATAAAAAGATGTTGGGTCAAAAATTCAAACCTTTTGATACTTCAAATCAATTATTCAGGGATGAGAGTAGTCAGAAAGTAAAAAAGAGGAAATCCAAAAATATTTATTTATATATATCAACGTTTAAATCATAGCTTTAGTTCATAGTGTTATGAATTCATTTATTTATAATCTTACTATATATAAAAATCTAATGATGGTGTCGCAGTTTTCCATTGTTGTCGGTGCATTTTTATTGGCTGGAAAATCACGTGGTAGGATCCAGTTTTCCCTCATTCATTTCCATATTGTTTAGGTTATCATCAGCACAAAATTAACAATAGTCGTAAAGGTATTGTTTTTCTTTGAATATTTTTGTATCCCTAATTTAAACTTATTTTCCAGTACTGCTACTATAAGCGAGAGTATTAAATTATGTTTGTGAACTCATCAAATTTGTTTGAACAATACAATGATATAAGAATATAAATGTTATTTTAAAAAATGATTACTTCGAAAATTCACTTCCGTTCACCAAGAGATCTAATATTTGGGTAAAGTAGTATTTGAGAGTAATATTTAGACGTGGGAAGTAGAGGCACAAGAGTAAGTAAACAGAATTCCTTTTAGTACATATATGTTAAGTGAATAATTTTAAATTTACTAGAAAAATTGTTTTCTGCCAAGAAAAGACAATTATTGCGAAGCAATATTGCAAAGNTTTTTTTTTCGCTTTTTTTGTTTGCTTTCTCTCCAGAATACAAGAAGCAGCGACGTCTAAATTACGAAAATACGAGCTATCCGGCCGACGGATCAAAAATACGGAAAATCTTATTTTCTATGCGTGAAATCGGAGAAAATAGCTAATATAAGTAAACATGCGGAAGGATTAGCAGTTAGGACGTAGTTTGAATTTTCTGTTTTTCTTCGAAAATCGTAAATAAATATATTAATTTGACTTCAACGACTGAATTTTTTTTAAAAAAAAAAACGGGATATTTATAAATAAATAAATAAAAAAAACGAAACTTTTAGAGAATCTGAGTTTTTGATAAAAAGGCTGAAATTCGATAGAAAAAAGCGAAAAAAATCTCATCCCTGTATAAAGGACAACCAGTTTTATCCCAAGGAAATGATTTTTAGAGAAACTTCAGAGGGAGGAATGAGGACTTCAATAATTTCGCTCCGCGGAAAATTAAATTCCTCATAAAATATTTTAACTTGTGCAAAAAAAAATTTCGGCGGAAATTAGCGGGAAAAATGGAAAAATCTGAGAAAAAGCGGAAATCCGCGAAAGAATCTCATCCCTGATTATTTTAAAATCTACATTTGTGTTCACGGGAAATGTGATGTTTAAGGCGTTAATGGATGGTGTTTTCTACACTAGCGAACGCAGCAAGCTCCATATCGCCTATACTTTCGGGTTACTGTTTCCGGTGTATTTTAAAGCCATTTGGTTTGCAATGTGATCATTGTGTTTTGAAATTCTTGCAAATGTGGTATTTGATTACTTTTTACTTGTGTTTACAATGTGTTCGCAATGCTAAAGGTGCTAACACTAACGTAAGATGGTGCACAGCTTACAACAAGAACAAACAGCACTAAACAATTGGTAAATGGCGAAATCAGGACTGCCAAAAAAGCGAGTCATTCAAAATCTAGCTACCATGTCACCTTTTTTAACAATATATCTATAAATAACTAAAACTACTTTTTACTTCAAACTCACCAGAATTACTTAATAACATTAATATCTTATAAAATATGGTAGATTTGAGAACAGAAATTATCTAATTTAGTTCTTTTATTGAAAACAAAATTGCCCATTTGAAAATATTGCCTCGCAGAATAAGCTGCAGTAAGCAGTTGCAAACTTTCTAACCGAAACTTAGCGGGTATTGAGCTCGAGATTGTTATTAACACCATCCATTGGATGATGTGATATTCAAGGTGTTTCATAGGTGAAGTTTAAAGGAAATGTGATTCAAACAATTTTAAAAAAAATATTTATATAAAATTTAATTAATAATGTTATAAATTGAACACAGTAAAATAATAGTAGTAACTAAATAATATTGAAATATGATATTTTTATATTACAGATAAACAAGGGGGATGACATTCTTCACACATACATTAAAATAAAATGTATAGCAGGGTTTAAGCTGAGTCTAAAAATTCATTAGCAAAAAAGCTAAAATCTGAAAAAAAGTTTTAGCAAAATGCTAAAATGCCATTAGGCTTATAAAATTACTTTATATCAAACAAGTACTGTAAGTTATCTGAAAAAGAATAGCTTAATGTACAAGAATATCAAAAAGAATACCTATAACAAAAAAAAAAAAAACACATTTATTATTTATCAAAACATTTTGGTTTATAATTAACAATCTTCCTTTCTTTCATGTTTGCCCATTTTACAAATGCTTCTTGAAAGTTAAATGCACTTTCAGGGCCCTCAATATTAATCATTAACAAATTGTTTACATGGTTGATTAACAACCTGTTTCGAATATTAGTTTTAATCAAATTAAGGCAGCTAAAGCCCCTTTCACAGTCAACAGTGTGCATTGGTATTGTTGCACAATACTCTATAACAGAAGTTATTAATGGGTACTGTTCAGACACATCATTGGTATATAAAATCTTGTCTGATCAATCCTTCTTGTTTGATCAAGTTTTTTTCATGGATGTTAGCGTCATGGTTTTTCGCGGAAGCCTTTTTTTTTAATGGAATTTAGTAAAATCCTTTAGCAAAAATGCTTTGTTGAATTTTAGCATTTTTGAGGGGTCTTTTCGCATTTTGCGAAAAAAGCTACCGTAGCGGAAAACCTGATGTATAGTTAAGGTATTCAGTTCTTTTTTTAAAAATTGTGTTGGCATTTTAGAACAAACAGTACAACAAAGAAATTTTATTTTTGAATTGTTCATTGAAAAACATTAATTAATAGTTAGATTAAATACTATGAGATACTTTTGAAAGGCTTAATTATTTTCAATTTGGGGGGCTTAAAATATTATTTTATAATTTGCTTTAAAAAAAATTTAAATCAGGGAAACCAGGTTTTTTCCCCTTTTTTTTTTAAAATAAAAAAAAAATCTTTCTTCCAACCTTAGCGCTTGCGTTAAGTATAAAAATAATTCTGCTAAGTTAAGACAATTAGTCTAATGTAAACTAACCATCTATAAAGCTCAATTTTCATTTTTAAACTGCAATTATGATAATTTATTCTTTTATTCCTAGAAATAGTAATGAGGAAAAAGATAAGTCAGTATTCATTTTTTTTAAATTGTTCAAAGCAGTTCCATACATAAACTTATAATATTTCCTAATCTGCAAGCTACTAACTAGCAAGTTGAATTTTAAGATAGAGTAGATGAAAATAAATATTTTCTTATTATGGTATGGTTTTTGCAGTTATTAAATTATTAGAGAAAAGAGATTAATATTAAACGAGGTCTTCTAATAAGACTCAGATGAAGGCAATTCTCCATAAATCGAATTTGGAAATGAAAGTTTTATAAACTAGAACAAATTAAAAGTATTTCAGAAGACAGTTTTTTTTTTAGTTCAACCTACGATGATACTGAAGTTTCATTTGTATTGTACAGGTAAAAAGTGCTGAACAAAAAAACAATTCAATTTTTTTAACCAACTTTTAAAATTATTATGCCAAAAACTTACTCAAAAAGAAGCAGATGGTGAAGAAAGGAAATTACTTCTTGAAGAGAAAGTCATGAAATTCATTCAAATTAATTATTTTTATTTCAGATAACGAAGTATTATTTCAAATTACTCATTATTACACGATACGGCAGAAAAGCATGGTTTGTTTCAACGAGTAGTTTGTTTATGGTCAAGGTTTATTTATATTTTAGATAGTGCAAAAGGACGAAGAGCTCGGAACTTTAGCTTATAGCTTTCTGTTTCTATTAATGAAGCCTATGGTTGAGGCTAAATCGATAGCTAGAAAAGGATTGAAATTTGGTCCAAGGATTGATTTGATTTGATTTGTTCATTTACGTCGCACTAGAACTTCACAATGGGCTATTGACGACGGTGCCGACATGCCATCACAATTTTGATCTTCCGCAGAGGGGATGGTATCCCCGCTTCGGTAACCCGACGACCTGCACGCGAAGTCGAGCACTTTACGGTAGAACTGTTTAGCGAGGACCACCCTCGGCCCCTACACAGACTGATCTAAGCGGTCACCCACCCGTACACTGACCGCAGCCAGTGATACGTGACTTCGGTGATCTGCTGGGAACCGTGTCTTAACGATCAATCCACTGCGGGTCCAAGGATTGAAAGACAAGTTCACGCTATCCATAACTGGTGGATTTTAAAGAGATAATTATTGGTAGAGATCTTTAGGAGTATTCTGAAATGAACATTTTATTTAGGATCGCAGAATGAAGGAATGATAATTGACTAATATCTTTGAAGGAACTACAACTTCCTCTTTCAACGGCGCCTGAGAGTCGAGAAGGGGAAATTCCCTGCATCCCAAAATTATTGACTTTTTATTGCTTATAAACTATCTACCTTTGATCAATCTGCATTGGGACCGAGGGTTCGTCGGGCTACCAACAAAGGATCAAAATTGCGACAGCAGGACTTTGAATCATCCTCAGAGATGTTTCCCAGACCTTCGCCCATAGCCCAATGTGCAACTTTAGTGTGACGTAAATAAAGTACCTACCTGTTTTATTTGTTTTAGCAAACAGAATTTTTTTTTTATAAGAGCAAACGATTTGTGACGTAAGCAGATATGATTCCACATCATACAAAACTTACTAATGATGCCGCAGCTCTGAGGAATCAAAATTTATTCAATTAAAAAATATTGTTTCTTTAAAAGATATAAACAGACTATCATTCTATCATTTATTATCGTAAAATCGGGGTAAAAACGTAAAACCATATTTCTTAAAAATGTAAAGCTTACGAGATGAATTATAAGAAAAAATTTATATATATATATATATAAATATGTGTGCGTGTGTGTCCCGCAGTGGACTGATCGTTGAGACACGGCTCCCAGCAGATCACCGAAGTCAAGCTCACTGACTGCGGTCAATGTGCGGGTGGGTGTCCACTTGGATCAGTCTGCGTAGGGACCGAGGGTGTGCAGTATTGGTCCTCGTTAAACTGTTCTACTGGTAAGTGCTAGATCCCTCTGCAGAGGATCAAAATTGTGATGGTTTGTCTTCGGATCATCCTTAGGGATGTTTCCCAGACACCGTCGATAGCCCATTGTGCAGCTCTAGCTCGACGTAAATTAACTACTACATATATATATATATATATATATATATTCCGTCCGTCATATAGCTAGGCCAGGAGTTGAATCGGGAGGCTAAAGGTATTTTAAAAGTTAGGTATCAAAATGACTACTGTGTGTAGTTTTCAAGGCGACAAATTAAGATTTATAGTAGTAAATTACGACTAACGGCCACTTATTTTGAACCATGGATAAAACTACAGTTATTAAGAGTCAACTAAAATAGAGATTCGATGAAGTTGAAGCGCTTGGATGTTGGATGTAATGGAACAGATACCGGTTGGAAATGTTCGAAGAATAGAAGAATTTACAGAAAAGCAATGGGACTTTTTGCATTTCATAGAACTGCTATCCCGATTTCTCTCCACGTATATTGACGGAACTGCATCTCATTAATGACGGGTTCAAAACTGGCGCTGACAGTGAAAAACTTCCAGTAGTGTTATTTAAACTTGCCCGACCAGAGTTCGGATGATCTCAAAATGTTAAGTAGCAGTTTGAGATATTTCGTTTCAGTTATCTAACTCCCTTACCAGCTTGAACCCTGGCAAAGCTCTCCGGTTGATCAGTGCAAGCAGAATTTTAACACTGTATACATCCACTTAGTATCCAGATAAGAAGTTCTTGCATATTGTGATATACGTGGCAATATAATGCAAGTTCAAGTGACAGTATACAACTGCTGATGTTGTTCATCACGTGAATGAGATCATTTATAAGTCGAAATGGTTGACATAGAAGTGTCAGGTTGTAGTTTTTTCATCCATCCAGACGAATACTCATCCTGAATACCAGCATCAGACGAATGCCCGAAAAATATTCTTTTTGCAATGATGACTCGTTCTCTTGTTTTCCACCAAGATGAGATAAATAAAATTATTAGCGCTCATAAAGAATAAAATATTCCCTATTCCATGTTATATATGATATGATTCTGCAGCTGAACTATGAAGCAAAGGATTATAGAGATATAATTTTTTGGGAGAAAGTACTAATATATGCACCACCAATCTTAAGAAATGTATCAAGCGATGAGCTCAGAAAAAAACTTTTTCCTCGTGATAATTTAATACCAGACTGGTTCTATACCCCTTTTCCGTGCCAAACAATCGCAATTGAGAGAACAGTGAACAGTGGAACTAGTAGCAACTTTTCGAGTAAGTTAATTTGGTTTTACCATGCTTAATGGGGTAGAATTGCTTGCCGTTGGCCTGGTGAGCCCAAAACTGACTTTGTTTTTAATTTCCAGTTCGTTTTCTTCTTTTGTATACTCTCGGAACGTACAGTCCGCAAAAAAAAAAAAGATATCACCCTGAATAACTTTCGTTCTAATGATCAGATTTTCACGAACTAAGTGTCAATCTTAATGGTTCCTGGGGGTGACCTCAAATATGCTAATTAATTAGTGCTAACTATTAATTAAGTTACGAAATCAGACACAAAAACGTACTTTCTCTGAATAAACATATATTTTTTCTTACATATTTGGATTCTTAACCTTCAAAATATAGGGGGTAGCCGCAATCTGGGAAATATGGTCCCCATAGTTTGGTCAGGAGAGCGATCCAAAGTTCGTACCCCTTAATGTTAATTTCACTTTTTACGTTTTTAGTCATATTTTAAAAACTAATAAAGCAATTCGAAGAAAATTTCACCCAGTCATAAAACTCATTTACCCAAAGATAATTTCACGAAAAAAATAATTTTTAATAATTGTTAATTATTTTTTATTATTTAATTAAATTAAGGATGAAAAATTTTTGAATTATAAGGTATGAATTTTTTTATACCATATTAATCTACATATTTTTCAATTGAAAAATCTAAAGTTTCAACTGTTTTTATTTATTAGAAGCTGAGAAAAATTAAAATTAATTATTTTTAAAAAAATAATTTGGCGACAATGAAGAAATGATTAAATGGAGCGATTAATATTAAAATGTGATAAACTTGCGAGGAACTTGACTTCGCGCGCTTAGCATAAAATTTCATTCATATTTTTTTCGCTAATAATCGTTTGCTTATCTTTTCATTTTTATTTTTTTAAGCTATAAAATACGATGTTTCTTCTTTAGTCGTCTAAAATTCTATTTGCAATTTAGTAAAGAAATTTGAATAAAACATTTTATTGAATAAAATACATTTTATTCAGAGAATGTGGAGTTTTATAAAAGCATGCTTCTGATAGAATATGATTATACAACAGATTGTGCTTCTTTAATGTGATTTTTTTTTATTTTTTTTTTCTCAATAACTGATAAAATTTCAATAATATACATACGAATGAATAAATTTGGAATAAAATATTCATCAATTTCTTGAATATATATTTTATAAATATTAATAAAAATACGCAGTCAACATTTTTAAGCATCTCTCACAACATCGCAAATTTCTCAAAATCTTATAGGGTAAACTAACCAGTGAAGGAATACTTAAGCTTAGCTTGTCTTTAAAAAAAAATCATAAAAATTTCAAAATTTGTAATTTTAGCTAAATGACGTATTTGTTATTAAATGCATGTCGACATATTTGTTATTAAATGCAAATTATGTAAAAAAAATTTAGATAACTTACATAATATTGTTTTAAGCTTTTGGTGGTTTAAATAATAAGTAGTAAGATAACCAAGTGAAGGAACAGTTCTTAAATTGAATAAACACTAAATTTTCCAGTGAATGAACACTTAATTTTGAGAATGTTTGATGCTCGTTAGGAATCCTTAGGCCACACAGATATCTGTCGCCCTGTAGATGCCTGAATTGACGGATGTTAACACAGGCGGGCATTAGGAAAAAAAATCTTTTAAGTTTTCGTGCCCCCATTTCAGTATCTTAAGGGCCTTACGAGCTCTGTTTAAAAAGAGAGTATCATATCAGATATATATATATATATAAGAAAACAAAAATAATCATAGTAGCAGTATTTGGTGGTAAATGTAGCTTATCGTAATTGAAGAATATGCTGTGCGACATTTTATGGTGAATTTGCGAACGTAAGTTTCAGAATGTATCGAAACATGTGGATGCTATTTGCTAATCATCTTTATCCAAAGAAAACCATGTAACGTAAATATCTAGCAAAATGAAGCAATTTTTTAAACAATGAATCATACAATATGCAACATATTATTTCTATATCTTATTCTTAAACATAACATATTTCAATGTTTTTAAAATGCCACTAAACATTCAGCAATTCATTGAGTTATAGAAAAAAGAAATCGTAAATTACAGAAAACCTTGTGAATGTGCATTAGAATTACTATACAATCTACATTTTATTTTTCATGCACTTTTTTTTCCTTCAAACTTTCATGCCTAGAAGACTCGATTAAAGCTGTAAAAATCATTATCCCTAAAATTTTGTATATAGCTATTATAAGTTATGTTAATTTGATTTTAGTATGAAATCCTCGAATAAACATAGCAAAAATAGCATAATCTAAATAATATCAGATAAAAAGTTCATGTATTTAAATTCTGAAAACTTATAAATCGATTCAAATTTTCTTTTCAAAAGAGATTAAAATAATTTTTTATTTTATTTATTTATTTATTTTTTTTGCTTTTTGGACATAAATGAACTTAAAAATTGTCTATTGCCTAGAAACTTCGAGGTGTTTTCTATTAACTATTAATTAAACCTCTCAGAGCAATCACAAAACATTATTTCAATTTTTTTACAGTCAGAAATTGGTTGCCTAGCAACCTAGTAAAATTAAGCGTTTCTCTTTTGAATCAGTCAAGGGTTATCTTAAAATATTTATTTGCGCAGGCGACTTTTTTTGGCGGTTTTCTGGACTATCGCCAAATATATAAACCTTTATTGCAACCCAATTTACGACCCAATTGTTTTAAAATTTTGTCTACCCCCCCTAATTCAAGTGTCTAGATTCCAAATATGTAAAAAAAAATATATGTTTATTCAGAGAAAGTACGTTTTTGTGTCTGATTTCGTAACTTAATTAATAGTTAGCACTAATTAATTAGCATATTTGAGGTCACCCCCAGGAACCATTAAGATTGACACTTAGTTCGTGAAAATCGGATCATTAGAACGAAAGTTATTCAGGGTGATATCTTTTTTTTTTGCGGACTGTACCTTCATTCCAATTCTCAAAATGTTGTCCTTGGCGAAAGAACACTCTTAATAAAAAGAGTGCACTTTCAAAAAAGAATGACAAACTGTTCTCCTCAATTTACTCTTTAAAGTACGCATGCTGTCAGAGCGTTCTTTCACCTTCGTTTCGACACTTAAAATTTGGTCCTTGGCGAAAGAACACTTTTAATAAAAGGATAACACATTTAAAAAGGAATACAAAAACTGGTTTAGAAACTTTTTTTATTTATTGCATTAAAATATTGCATCTCGGAGATTTCAATTTAAGTGACATACAATAAAATAAAATAGAACCATTAGAGCAACAATTATTCTCTAAATTCAGACACCTTCGAAACCTAACTTATGGACTGTCATTCGTGCATTTTTTTTAGGTGTCAGCTTATTCTTGCCCAGATGCGATATTTTGAAAACAATTTTCGTGGTCACATGTATCTATCATCATCGTTAACACAACGCAAAGATGCAAAATAATACTTGAAAATGTTTTACATAATGTCTGTGAATTCTAATAACGATCATCTAAGTGTTGGACTGAAAGACAATTCAAAATAATGTTTACATGGAGGGATTTACAATAACATAATGAATCACATTTTTTTTTTTACTCAATTTCTATGTTTGAATAACAATAATCGATTTTCAAATCCTTGTGTACAAAATTTTAGTTTCAAGTGTGATGTTGTACAATGTGTATATAAACTATATGAATATTATTATTTAGGCAATAACTGATCTAAGATAAAAGCTCAATTTTACAATTAAAATAGAGTATCTTATGTCGCAGTCCAGTATAAAAAAAGTAATTGGGCTAAATGTTGAGCTAGAAACTTTTTTTTTTTTTTACTAATCTTTTGAGAAATATAAAGGTTCAAAAATTGCCTTTTCCCTGCTTCTGAGACAAGCGAAAAAAGTGTAAAAATCTTGGAAAACGTGTATAATAGCGATAAAATTTTTTATATATTTAGTGTAACGGCATGGTAAATAAAACTTTTTAATGATTTATTAAAGTAAATACATGGTATTAATAAACGTTCGGAAAGATAAAATTTTTAAGGAATGTAAAAATCTTATAAAACTTTTTGGTGGCAACAGTAGTAAAGCATCTGCATTCTCAGGGAAAGTGCTTTTGTCCAGCAGTTTAGGGTGTTACAAAAAGAATAAACCAAAAATATAAATCGATGGCGCGTGCAAGGAAGCCGTTCCAAGCTTTAGTAATAACAGAAATTTGTAAAAATAATTTGATTCAAATAATATTCGAGCTTTAATGACTAGTGCACGTTTTTTTTTCGGATTATCAATCACAAAGTCCAAACTATCCTTTAAACGAAAAATAATTATTATAACGATAAAATAAATTATTTGAAAAAAAAAAAAAACTACGCGTATCACTTGTTATTGTAAACGAAGCTTTTTTTTTTGTCTTTAAAACGAATATTTAGTTTTCCAAAATGTCACTATAACGGCCCAAAAATGCTTCAATCAAAAACGTTTAAGAGGTATTAAATACTAAATTAGCAATAACAGAATTATGTTAAACGTGGATAAATACTTGATAAATTGGCACATAAAAGCTGATCATGCAGGTTGGTAAACTATACAAAATAGTGGTCAATTTCTGATTCTTTCTTAGATTAGGTTTCATCAGGTAGCAGTCTATAGTATAAAACATTTCAAAGTTAATATCTCAGAAATGTTTTAGAACATTTGCATTGAACAACATGAATGAAAAATAGCGTGAATAAACCGCAAATGAAGGTACAGAAATGGCTCTATAAACAAGAAACTTCCTCACTTTTTTTTATGTGTTAAGTCACTGTTTGTTTGTAAAGCCATCGATGTACCTTTATTTGTGATTTGTTTTGAATTATAGTATCCTCATATGAACCTCCAACCAAATAAACATTTTTTTAGCAAAGATAAACATTATTATTTTGTTTAATAGATAACGTTTTTAAATTTCTAAAGTGCGGAAAAAAATTAGAAACACAAGAAATGAACCAGTCGCAAAAGTTCTAGATAATGTAAGATGATTTTAGGTGAGGAGGACATTTTTCGAATTATTATTTCTTTAAATTGACCTTAGATAACAATGTGGACCATCCTACTGACCTAGAAAAGCAAAGACTTCACTTACAAATAAAGATTACAATAGCAAACAGTTCAAAAAGCAAATGGCACAATATCTGAGTCACAAGGAGCTCTTTGATTAGGAAGCTTCAGGGTGCTCCTACGCAAAAAAAAAAGAAGAAAAGAACAACCTTTTTGCGATGGGGCAGATATGAAGAGCCATGGCTGGAAATTGTGGAGCCTTTTGAACGACACTCTCAAAAAGAGAAAGATTCTAAGGAGCACCCCCTGATTTCACACTTAATATATCTGATTTTGCTCCTAGTTGCATAAAACTCTTATGGATTACTCACTACTGTCAAACCCCGCTATAGTGAGCTTTCAAGGGACCGAAATTTCGGTTCACTATAAGCGGGACTTCACTATATTAACAATTTTAAATAATGATTCCAAACTCCCCACTTTTATTACACATTATTTAAATAAATGACCCATGAAATGAAATACAAAAATGAACGAAAAATAATGCGTTGTAAGAAAAATGTTTTCACTTTTATTTTTTATGACTCTTCGCCTTGCGTACAAAAAAAATATTAATATTTAGCTGATGCGCAATCTTCAACATCAGGTATGGAAACACTTCCCCACTATCCGTCCCTTCGCATGTAGGAATCAATGGCAATGAAAAGGCAGACCAACTGGCCAAGAAAGGGACACTCGAACCACAATGTAATAAACCGATTCCACCAGATTCCCTTAAAAAACAATTTTCCGAGAAACTTAAGACCAACCTAAAGCTAAGCCAAGCAGTAAAATCCACTGGAAAACCCTGGGCTAACATCCAAAACAGTTGGAAGAAATTTTGTCACAGTCCTCGTAAGAAGGCTGTGGCAAACTTCAGACTCTCAACAGGCCATGACTGCTTGGCAGAGCACCTCAACAGAATAGGTATCCTTCCATCTAGCGAGTGCCAAATCTGCAATTCGGGAACCATGAACTCAGACCACTTGCTTGTATGCCCTTTACTGGACAAACAATCCCAAGAGCGGGGTGATTTGTGTAAACTTTACTGGGATGCCAGAGATCACATGAACTCTCTGTAAAGACTACTCCTCATTCTTCACTGTATATATATATATATTTTTTTTTCTTACTTTAATTTTTTCTATGTGTTCTCTTTGTATTAATATGTGTTTGTCATGTGTTTTCTTTGCTTGTTATTGTAATTTTGTTCCTTTTTACTCCTTGTTTAAGTCCACTTAAAGTTGAACATTGTATATGGATTAATATTTCCAATAAAGCCATATGTAACAACATATTATTCCTCTCTTTAAACCTGTCTAACTAGCGATTCAAGCACATAAAAGTAGTCTCACCCTATTGCTTAGCAAATTCATCGGCTTTGACTCGAAGCATTTGTCCAGATATTGGAAGATTGTAGCTTCTTTGAATGCTGAACGAATTCAATAATGAAGCAAATAAGAAAAAATGCTCATTGTTACATTCCATGCTATAAATGGTTTTAAAAATCGGTATATGTATTTATTTTGAAGTAGAAATTTCAAAATTATTACAACAAAAAAAACAAAAACAAAAAAATTAGAAGAATAATCAGTCGAAGACCGAAGTTCATACTATCCAATTTCCTCTCTTCACTCTATCCGGGAGTTCGCTATAGCGGGGTTTGACTGCACATTAAAACGAAATGTATAACGTAATAAAGAAAGAACAACAGTTTGATAAATATCACATCATGGTAATAACTTTTAAATTAGCTCCGAAAGGATTTTCCATCTGCACCATTTGAATTCTTCTTTATCCGGCTAAGAATAACGAAAAATTGGGATGGAATATAAACGTTCTTTTTAAACCACCAGGGACTGACACTTAGTTAACGCCAATTGTTCAAAAATTAATGTAAATTTTCTGAAAGACCTGAAAGAAAAAAAAGTTTTGTTAAAATGGTTAATTCCGGATTTCGTAATCAGAAAGAAATGAAACTGTATTTCGTCTATTGGATTGAAGGGAGTTCGACACATATTTTAAGTATTGCCGTTGAAAGAAAAAAATATCTGGTGGAACTTATTTTTTTATAGGGTATAGTTAACTGATTTTTGTTAGATCAAAAATGACCTGTTTAAATTACTTGGCCCGCTTTAATTTTAAAAAAGAAAGCAGACATTTATTTATTTTTTTAGAAAAAGAAAGAGTTGCTGCCAATTTAAATTATCTTTCGTGTATTCATCATGAAAGTTATTGATAAAATAATTGTACAGTTTAATAAACAATATACATTTTGATTAAATATTACTGAGTGAGTACACAATTCTTCATTAGCACTTAAAACGTATTCTGCACTTCGTATTTGTAAAAACATATTGCTTTGATAACAAGAAAATATGTATATAAATATTCACAAAAAAGATACAGATTTGTTTTGTTCGTGCTTAGGAGAATAAATCTGTAATAACTTATGTTACCTACTTTAACAGCTTCCCCTATTGGAAAATATTCCCGGTATAAAAAAATTTATACCGGCTTATGAAACACCGGTTCCGGTATGATACTGGATCCGGTATTATACCGGACCCAGTATCATACCGGCTTATGAAACACCGGTTCCGGTATGATACTGGATCCGGTATTATACCGGACCCGGTATTATACCGGAACCGATGTTTCATAAGCCGGTATCAAATTGATCTCGGGATGATACCGGAACCGGTGTTTCATAAGCCGGTATCAAATTTATTCCGATATGATACCGGAACCAGTATCATACCGGGACCGTAATGAGAAAATAGTGCAAAAATTAAATTTTTTTTAAAAATTTCATTAATAAATACAGGGAACTAAAACAAAACCTAATATACAAGTTTTAAGTTGAATTTGTAAACTTTTTACGAATAAAAAGTGAGTGAACTACATGAGCTCCAATTTTATTCTTGCTCGAATATAATTTTTTGCTTTTAGCTTAGTTTCCTTATTTAACAGATTATAAAATATGTAAAACAAAATAAGCAGACATTTTTCTCTCACATCGTATTATAATGTGCGAAATCCCACCATGGGGAATTAAAGGGGTTAATATCACATTTTTTAATTATGAATCGATTTTATCCTCTTGTTAAGATTATTCCTAGTTAGAAAGAAGAAGAAAATATCCATTGATTTTGATTGACGATGAGAAGCTAATATTCTATAATAATAGTTAAAATAGAATGCATTACACCTTTTTTTTCTTCTTCTTTTCTCCAATCTATTCTTGAGGGACGTTGCGAGATTTGTATCCCCTAAACGTGTGTTGGATTTTAAGAGCTGCTTTCTCAACATCAGGATCACCCAGGTCGATGTCCACCTAAAAATGAAGATTGGTCTTGAAATTATCAGGCTGACTACAGCAATCACAAGTGACAAAAGATATTTCTGTTTTCAAGAAATTCCGCTTGACTTATTCTTGGATCATATAAATATATATAATATAGAATGCCTCATACGAGTCTTTCTATATTAAATGATAAGCTTAAAACAGATGTCTCTTATCAATTTTAAGATATAGAAATCGTCTCTCACAAAGAGCCATAAAAAGTCAAGAAGTCAATTAAAAGATTATTTTCTGAAGTTAAGGGGTAATAATTCGTAGATGAAGTACGCATTAAGGTAGTCCCAAAAATTCCCCAACTTCATAATGGAGCCATCTTTTAAACAAATCAAAATCTCTAAGTTTTCCCATTTGAATGACGTTTCGTTAAGATAAGGATATTCTTGCAACCAATTCCCTTTCAGAATCACCGTTTAAATATCAGGCGCAGCAAAAATTCGTGGCTTTTTCATACTTTCATGACTAGATAAATCTGTGCCAAAATCCAAACATCCCTGCTATGGAAACCCCACCAATAAAATCCATGCAAAAATCCCACAAAATACTGCTTTAAATAGGTTAATATTGTGGGGGAGGAGTTAATCGACAATACCAATCGACAATGGGTCAATTAATAAAATGCCTTTTTGTCTGAATTAGCCTAAGTCTCTTAAATTATCTAGCATTTAAAGGCATATTATTATATGTGAGTGTGTGTGTAATACAAAAATTATAAATAGTTTTGTATTAATAAAAGCATTAAAACTCTTTCGTTTTCATAAAATGTCTTTGTTAAAGAATAAGCGTAGAAATATTCTATTTTGGGAATTCAAGGCTGAAAACATACCATTGAATTATAATGAGATTTATATTTCAAAGGAGGAGTTATTTTTAGAATCTTGTTCCTCTTTCACTTCCATATTAGGAAGCATTAAATGATTTTCCTTAATGCGTAAGGTTACAAGACGGAGCCTTTTTTATTAGTATTTAATGCGGGAGTGATGGTTTTTGCATGCCTCTTGCTGAATAATGATCTGTAAGATCTGATGGAACCATCCGGAGTTTTGTTCACACCCCCTCCCTTGTGGAGTGTGGATGTGTACTGTTATAACCTCTAGCCTACCTTTGAATAAACCTTTTTAGAACGTACATGGTTTACAACTGAATCATTCAAGCTGAATACAACAATGATAACAAGGATGTAGCCCTGTTATTATATATATATNTAGATATATATATATATATATTTGAGGGCAAAGTCTACCTCAAGCGAAGATAGAAAACCTCAACTTATAAAATTACTTTAGCTTTTATATATTTTATAACCGTCTTTGAATAGTCGACCCGATTTTAAGTTTACGACTACTAATGTTCAACTCTACAACCTTGTAATTTGGAACCCAATCCAGAAGACAATGGAACTCCTGGATCAAGTATTGGGTAAAATTCGCCTTCGTGGAGGACTTTTTGATGAAACTAACCAATACTTGCGGTACATGGAGAGGGAAATCACGAAGATCTTCCACGGTTGGCGTGACAGCAAGGTGACTCCAATCTATGATCTGTTCACCAGCCCTGTGACATCGACCAGCCATCGCTGGGATTCGAACCCGGTTCACCTCATTGGAAGGCGAACGCTCTATCCCCTGAGTCACCAGGGGTCTAGATTTTGCATAATTATTTCCAAAGTGAGCCTTCTCTTATTTTTTGCCACAGGAACTGGCCTAAATATATTATATATATCCAGGGTGTTTCGTTAATGCGAGCCCTTCTCCTTTATTTCTATAATAATTGTTCAAAGCACTGTAGAAGCATATGAATGACCAGGAATTAATATTTGAGTGCAAAAGTACAAAGACGTTTTTACTGTTTGGCCAATCACTATGGAGGTTGGAGACAATTTTATTTACATTGCACTAAAGACGAACAATGGGCTGTTATCAAGGGTGTTTCCTAAGGATACAATTTTGATTCTGTGCACCCCCTCCGACGATCCTTCACTAGGTGTTGACTCCACCTCCTCGGACGCAGAGTTCATTTCAGCGCGGGAGTAAGAGGAAAAACAACTCCGCGCTTAAAATTGAGACAACCCTTAATGCTCGCCAAACAGTGAATTCTTTTTCAGTCACTTACTTCGCTTTATCATCTGCTATTATACCTTTCATGACTCTAGCTCATTAAATCTAATATATGTAATTCTCTTACGTGGCTCCCAAATTTTGGCTGTATTTCCCTTCCGCCGGTGGCAACGTTTGCTTTGTTTTGTTTACGTTACTATTTCTCTTACACGTCGAATCGACCCATGATTGCAGCTAAAAATGCCACATGCCAAATCTAGCTGAGGTGGCTCAACATATAGCGCTTTTAAAAACGGAAACTGAAATAACCAGAGACCATCAGCTACGGCAATCTCATACTATTAAGCTAGGCAGAAGTGAGTAGTCTTTGTCGATAGATCTCTATCTTAGTATTTTGTTGAAAGCGCTTTTTTTCGCGAATTTATATATTACGAATTTATTTGCCGATTTTTGATTTATATCACGAATTATACTATAGCACATTTCTAATAGGTTTAACGAATCACATGTCATTTATTTGAATTCAAATTTATTTTACTGACTTAGTATTTACTAAAAAGATGTAATTTTTTTTAAAAAAAAAGAGTTTTTATATGGATTTGAATGATTGTTTTGAATTCTTAGAATTTTGTGCATTTGCAATGCACCTAAGTTAGTAGCGAGCGAAGCAAGCTTGGTTTGCGAAGCAAACCATATAAGATTGCGCAGCAATTTTCGGGGGTTGGCGAGCGTTAGCGAGCAGGGGGCGCAGCCCACTAGTATATTTTGAATATAAAAACTGCTCTTTTCCCAGAAAAATGTCTCAAAAAGGACAAACTATTTACTCCAAAGAGAGAAATATCATCAAATTTATGGAACATTTAATGTTAAGAAAATGCACATAAAGATTGCGAAAGAAATATTTCTGTCATACGATTGCCAAATAGTAACCTTGTTCATGATTATTCCCAAAAATGGCGAAATAGTGCCGTCGGATGCCACGAGATGAAGGCGGAAACAAATGCCAACTCCTGGTAAACGAATAAAATTTGTGAAGTCGAGAGCATTAAAAACAGAGAACGCAGCCTGATGCAAATGGTCACCCACCAGCTCTCTGACCGTCGCTTTGTGATCTACAGCGTCTTACGATGTGTGTGGGGGGGGCAGTGATTTTAAAAACCAGAATGTTCTTGGAAAGCATTTAAGTCGTACAGATGAAATATTTATTCCTAATGACAGTTGGCGAATAAGAAGGATATTCTCTCATAAGGATTCTTAACACATATATTAAGAGCAGCTTCCAAACATGTTTCTTTTTAACTTACTAAAACAAATGTGTTTTTATTTACCTACTTCTATTTTTCCTTTAACAACAGTTTTGCTATGCAAATTTAAAATTTTACTTTATACAATGATTAATTTTGTTACATAAATTAACGGGTCGTAGCTTTCTGAACAATTTATTAAAATACAAACAAAGCTGATTTATAGATTGAGAAAGGTATTCTTATTAAGAGGAGACTATACCGTGGGTACATTTCAAATTTAAAGCATAGAAGTTCAGAGAAATTCACAGTAAACCATGAAATTTCAATTGCTAAAATTCCTTTTTCCTCCTTCAAAATATTAAAATGAAAGTAAATGATGGCAGGATTACTTACGCGAAATTCTGAGTAAGCCCACCATGATTTGTATGATATTTTCCACTTTTCAAACTTCATGGTTTTTCCTGAAGTCTCTTTTTTCTATACTCCAAATTTTAAATTACTAATGCTGGTAGATCAGAATTTATAGTGAAGGGCATCATAGCGTCCTCTTAAAGAAATCCTTCATTATTAATTTAAAAAAAAAAAAAAACTGGGATGTGTATATAGCCCCACTTACAACTTCTTCTTCTTCCTGAACTTTTTTATCAGTGGTGTTTTCATTTGACTCTTCCTTCTTAATGACATTTTTGTGAGAGTTTTGTATTGTAGAGGCGACTTTCTCCTCTTTCAATGTTGCACCACTCTCCACCTAAAAATCCCAAAGACAAAATGATTAAAACACACATGAATGAATATAATTTAGTTAACATATAAACTATTTATCTGAGAAAGAGAGAAAAACATTAGTTTCAAATTTTTTTGCAACTAAAATGTTTACCTAGTATATTTCAAATAAGCCTTTTAATTTTCAAACATGAATCTTTTTCCCTGTTTAAAGTCGTTAAAAATTATTTATCGATTCAAACCAAAACTATTGCTCTTTATTTCCTTATAAAGTTTTGTGTGCGTGTTTTTTTTCCTTCAAATTGATAGCCAATTTTCGATGAGAAGCAAAAACATTTCCAAATTATTAATTTTGCTACGTTTCTTAAGTAGTAAAAGCGTATCTTAAGTAGTTAAGGAGTATAAGCGTATTGCATTAAAGTAAAAATGGCTTTTGTTTATTTTTCTTATCAATTTTTTTTAACGAAATTTAAATGTACATTTTTTGTCAAAAATAATTATGAATAATAACGTTTACGCTGATGAGAAAATAATGTCAAAAATATTTTCAAAAAAATAATTCAACTTTGAAGAGGTGGAAAATATTTTATAATACAATAATAAATTTTATTTTTAAACATCTAAGTTCTATACAAAATCATTTATTTATAACAAAAGAAAGAATATCTCCAATCAGATGTTAAACCGATTAAACTTTTCAGCTTGTTTTCGAATGCCAACACAGTTTGGAGCTCCCTCCTAAAATTCCGTGGCGGGGAATTGACCCCAAAGGATGGTTGATTGAATGGAATTCTTAACATTCCAGGAAGTTTTATTGTGTTTAAATTTACGCCTTATTTTACCATTCATAAGAGTTTTCTGTCATTCATAAATTCTAACAGATCGTGATCCTAAAAACTAAATTAACAAAATTAATATCACAGCATAAATAAAGTGTAAAGTTTGAGTGTTATCCCTCATTATCTGTGAAAAAAAATAGCGCCGTTTGTTATATTTTGCATACCCTCCAAGTGCTACGGAATTTCCGTAGTTTCAGAAATCTTTTTCAGACGGTAGCAAAATTAATGTCTTAATATTTAAAAAAAAATTAATTTTAGCGTAACTTGTCCACTATTACTTATAAAAGTGCAGGCCATATGGCTAGATTCTTAAGTTCTGATAAAAGTTTTATGAGAGATCCATTTGCTTTAAAAATTTCTACTTTGGTTCGCTACCACTAGAAAGAATTATTTTCAAAATCCTCATAAGTTGGAGGGTATGTATTTTGGGTAGCATGATAGCGGATTCATTTGTTGGTGTTTTCGTGGAAAGTTCAATTGAAGGAACGCGTTTATATTGAAAACACTACAAGTCTAATAATATTGGATGGCTCGTTTCTTTCAAGTTCAGGCTCAGAAATCAGTCGGATGTATAGTTCGTTCACCAGGAGGTGACACTTGGCTCCACCTCCTCGGACGCAGAGTTCATTCCAGCGCGGGTGTAAAAAGAGAAACATCTCCGCTCTTGAAATTGAGACAACCCTTAATGCGCGCCAAACACAAACAGTGAATTCTTTTTCAGTCACTTAATTCGCTTTATCATCTGCTATTATACCTTTCTTTTCTCTAACTAATTAAATATATTCTAAATTTGAAAACTGCTGTTTTCCCAGCAAAATGTCTCAAAAAGGACAAACAATTCACTCAATAGGGAGAAATATCATAAAAAAGGAGCGAAGTATCATCAAATTTATGAAATATTAAAAATATGCACATAAAGTTGGCGAAATAAATACTTTTGTCATACGATCGCCAAATAGCAACCTTGTTCAGGATAGTTCGCATCCCAAAAATAGCGAAATAGTATCGTCGCATACCACGTGATGAAGGCGGAGCCAAGTGCCAATTCCTGGTGAACGAACTATAGTTACCCGTTACTGCGAATTTTAACCATCTATATAAAGTGACAGAAAAAAAGTATAACTTTCAGATAGGTATTATTGTCGTCACTGAACACAGGCACACTTAAAGCTATGAAGAGAGAAAAAAAAAAGAATATTATTGAGAGCATGGCTTACGGCTGGCAGTAGACCGTTGTTTTTGAGTGATTTTCTTGTCTTGTATCCCCGGAAGGAAGCCTGGATTTTCTCTGCCGCTTTCTCTTCTGACATTCGATCGCCTCCTACAAAACATTGTTAATATTTTATTTCATTTTTTAATCACTACAATTATTCATGTTTAACTCCTTAAATAAACACAGAAGGCAATCCTGGATCAAGTATTGCCTACGTGGAGAACTTTTTGATGGAACTAACCCGCATTTGCGTTACATGGAGAAGAAAACCACGAAGAGCCTTCCACAGTAAGCCTGATTGCAAGGGGACTCTAACCCATGATCTGTTTACCACTAAGAATATTTTGCGTCAACACTGCGATCGGTGCAACTCGGATGTGCAATTCGAAATGACCATCAGTCATCGCTGGGTTTCGAACCCGGTTCGCCTCATCGGAAGGGAAACGCTCTATCCCCTGAGCCACCACGGCCGAATATGTTGTTGTTGTAAAAGTCTGGAAAATTACAGGCTTTAATGGTAAAACTTAGAATAACCAGGAACTTGTCAAAGAAGCTTGATTCTTGGTAAAAAAAGTCCGAAAAGGAAGTCGAAAACAAGACGAACAACTAATTCTTCGTAAAAGGCCGAAAAAGAATCATGGCAGAAAAATGTACTTCTAACTTTTACCAAGCCAATTTGGTAAAAACTAGGTTTTACCGCTACAACCTAAAATTTACTTGAATGGGGTTTTCACCGTAACAAAGTCATTTCACTACATTCGTCATCTTTAAAAGTGTTTTTTTCCCCCTTTCCTTAAAGAAAAGTTTTCTAAACATGATATTTAAGCTTGGATTTATTTCTCATCCAAGCAATAAGTGTACTGGGTCGACAAATTTTTTTTTCAATTCTAGATACAGCTGAAAATACGTGTTTAAGAAAAGAACATAACCTTTGAATCTTACGAATATTTTTCAAAAGAATTGAATCCAAATAAATTCGGTCGTTATAGGACGCGTTCCATTTGTCTAATATTATTTTAAATTAGTTTTTTTTATGAAAAAAGATGCTAAAAGTCAACAGATGTTTTTAAAAGTTCTGTCTTATATGTTTATGATATTGGTAATAAAGGCATAAATGTCTTAAAACCACCCTCTGCGCTCAAAATACCCATCAGCCCTTTTTTAAACGAAGGTTTTAGTGGCTTTCTTCTCCATGTAACGCAAATGCGGGTTAGTTCCATCAAAAATTCCTCCACGAAGGCAACTTTCACTCAATACTTGATCCAGGAGTTCCCTTGCCTTCTGGTTTGGGTTCAAAATTACAGGGCTACGGAGTATATATAAATATATATATATATATATATNTAGTCCAGAGGTCATATACAGTTCAAAGTTCTAAGTTAGGATCAGATAATAAGTCCATGATGAGGTGAGGCATGAGTTGATTCAGTATTACATCAGTTGTATGGGGAATTCCCCTGGATTAAAGTTGTGAGAAGATGCAGTACGTCTTGGTCCTTCAGCAAGTCTTTAAGTTCTCTGATGAGGCTAACAAGTCTGTGGGCTGTAGAAGTATGCGTGTCCTTGGTCGTTTTCCTCTTTCGACTGGGACGGGCCTCGCACCCAGTGAAATTTGAGGTGTGGTTTTGCATGCAGTTGCAGCATTTAGCTGGGGAGTATCGGCTCTTTCTGCACTGGAATGAATAGTGCCCTTCGGCACATTTCATACATCTTGGGCTGGAGGAGCAGGAACGTTGGGTGTGGCCGAAAAGACGCCTTTGTATGATATAGTATTCTTTTATTAAAAAGGAAGCTGAAAAATTACTGGTAGATTTGAAGGAAATTCTCGGTGGTTTTTCTCAATTTGGCAATTCTCTGATATATTAATTGCATTAACGCAAATTCGCAATTACTTTAAAATTTTTCTATGACCTTTGGAAAACTTGCAATTCCGATGCATATTAACGCTTAATATATATTTATATATATATTTATATATATATTTAAAGAAACCTCTTTCAATGGAGAATCAAGTGAAAAAAATTTAGGTGAAAGCTGATATAAGTCTAATTTAACTACAGAAATCTCCGAATTTGTTTTAAGGTAAATAATTGAAGTGAAGAGAGATCAGACGAAATTGCTTTATAAATGTAACCGAGAAATTAATTTTCGCTGAAATCGGCCATCATTTTAGTTCAAAAGTAATAATTCTTCGTCAGAAGTTTGGAATGGGAAAAATGTTCGATAATAAATATTACTTCTGTCACTTCTTATAGTTATTGATGAAAAAATACATTAATATGATGAGTATTGAAGCAAATTTTGACAAAAGTCTCTCTCAAACATAATATGTCATTTAATGGAAAAATGTTTCATTCTGAAATCTTTAATAAACATGATTGAATGGATCATATCATTTACGAGATTTTTCTGTGAATTATTAGTTTAATGTGTCAATAATATTATGACTAAAGTAGCTTATTCCTGTATCTTTAAAATTCTTATCAGAGGTTTTAAGGGTCGATAAGCGGTATTTGATTTATTAACGAATTCATTTTTGGGCAGTGCCGGATTAAGCTTACGTGGGGCCCTAGGCCATTCGAATTTTTGGGGGCCTTAGGTTAAAAAAAATTTTCCGTATATTTTTTATTTAAGAAAGCATACTTAAAATAAAAATAAATAATAATAAATTAAATTTTACTTTATTTTGTTAAATTAGAATTAAAAAATAATATCATTTTGAAAAATATTTGAAATTTATTAACACTTTAGAAAATCAGCGATACTATAAAATTGGTATTCAAAAATGATTTTTTTTTCTGCTCTTGCGATCAATACTCATGTATAATGTTATCAAAATTAATTTCGCGGAGAACTTCTGATTCGATTAACATCAAACTTAGTATGTCTAATCGCTTTTGAAACATGACACTATTTTGTTCACTCTTCATTCGTTTCATTTTTGAGAACGAGATCTCCGTAGAACAATTTGTTATCATAAAGAGTTCAACATTTGGGAAAACAGATTCAAGTTTGTCTTGAAATAGTTCAAGAAAGTTTCGTGAAATTCAGAATGATTAATTACTTAATTTTACTTATTTAATAAACAGTTCAAATTTTTTTAAATTTCATACGACATAAAAAGATTAAGCTATAAGTATTTCAATATATAAAATTTGATTGGAAGTGACCAGTTGTATGAGTTTTTTCTAGAGTATATAAAACAATAAACAAACACTTACCTTTTAGTAAATAATTCTTGTAATTATTTATTGATCCAATAGAATTACAGACACTAAATAATTGCAAAACACTAAAAAAATTATGAGACACTTCAAGTTGAGGCACTCAATAACTTCTTTTTCATTTAAAACGTCTCAATAATGTCAACATTTAATTCTTGTTTAAACAAGTCTCAGCTCGCTATAGTACTGCCGTCAATTCTTTCGAGCGCAAATCAAAATAACACATTTGAACTTAAAAAACATTGATAAATCTTATAATACATAAACTATAATAATACGTATAAATAACTAAAATAAGTAATAAATAAATATAATTAACATTATGTAAAAAATTTATCGTATTTTATTAATATATATTTGAAATTTATTATTTTTTTTAAATAATTGTTTTTTTTAATTTTTTTAAATTTATTTTCCAAAAATCAATGGCCCAGTCTGGCCTTTTAGGTAATCCAGCACTGTTTTTGGGGTTTCACATTAAATAATTCTACTTCTTTTTTTCCTAATTACACTTGTGTTTACATGACATCGAAGTTTTTTCTTTCTTTTTCTTTCTGCATAACTTTTTTTTACCTTGAGAAGGTGTTTACTTATACCAAAACTTTCCTTACCTAATACAAAATAAAATTTTTTTTACCTAATACAAAACTTCGAATTATCCTGAAAGGAAAAGTGATAAAATATTTTGAAAGTCAGTAGAACCCTTGAAATAATATACCAAATTCTGGTTTATTGGAGAATAAAAGATAATCATTTTGAAATTTCTGTTATTGTAATTTTAAAAAAAAATCAGCAAAAAAAAAANAAAAAAAAAAAAAAAAAAAAAAAAAAAAAAAAAAAAAAAAAAAAAAAAAAAAAAAAATGACACCGAAGGCATTTGAAGAAACATAGAATAAATAATGAGTTTGGAATCGAAATGAAAACTCGTTTCGGGGGGGGATAATTATTCTGAAATTTTCTTATAAAGTGAAAATTGTAAGATGAAATCGATTGATTTTAAATTTTATTTTCTACAGTTACCATGACAACCTAGAAATATGAATAACCGTGTGTTTTTTTTTGTGTTAAACATGTAAAGGTATTCGAAATAATGATGGTTTCGAATTTTACGCATTAAAAGAAAGGAAGGGACCACACCCAACAATTATTTTTATTTTGGTTAGGTAATTCTTGCCTTTTTTTGTCTAGCTCAAATCTTCTCGTAAATAGTATATGATGTAACAGGGTTGCTACTGGAGAAAACCAATTCCCTTTACATATTATGCACAATATACATTCACCCATATTTTTGTCGCACTCTAGGATTCCATGTAAAATCTTAATTACTCAGTATATAGGGGAGAGTGGGGTCAATTATAACATTTTTTACTTAACTATTTTTAACTAGCAAGAAATTCAATATATTATTAGTATTAATTGACAGACGAGTAAAGTAGATTATCCTCTACTAGAAAAAAAATAAATACCTGATTTTAAATGTTATTATATTAGTTATTAACAATTTTTGACAGTCGTGCACTTGTTACAATTGTCCCCACTTACGGGGTCAATTGCAACAGTTCATAAATTCAACTAAAACATATTTAATTATACATATTATCATAGTTGTGATGCATTTTTTTATTGATCAAAATAGTAATGATATTTTAGGAGTAAAGATAATAATGAGTTAAAGGGTTAAACTTTTAACTTTAAGGGTTTAAAATTTTTAATTTATGCTGTGAAAGGTGACAAATGAAATAATGCACATGCAACATATTAGAAATGATATAGGAAACTATTGGTGGTTCTTAAAGAGTTAAGTAATGGTTTGTAAACATAAGACTATTTATTTTCAGCTGTTACAATCGTCCCTTTACTTATTGTTACAATCGTCCCCAAGAC